GAGACCATACTAAGACATACAAAACTGAATCAGTACTTTACCCTCAACACCCACCGTGCCCACACTAAAGAAACACACATGCACGTACGTAGGAAATGGAGGCCACCTACTTACACGTGAAGAGTGAGTAGGTCTGTAAATAAGGGCACAAGCCACAGCTAATTACTGTACGACTCCATCCATCACTTCACGTGTTTGTATAATGTCCACTAAATTATGACATATGCACAAATACATACATTAAAGCTACATAAGAACGTGTCATGCATGCTCACACAGGTGCAGCAGCATGTACCCCGGCTAAAGCTGGAGTTTGTAGTGGATGCATTGCACACTGTTCTGGGGCTCTGCCTTACTTTCTCACTCCCCACCCAAACTGTGTGTCATCCAGTTCTATGTATATTCACTCATAGAGGCATTTTGTCAGCATTGTGAAAGTGTACCTCTGTGCCAGGCACAGTCACACTGTAGATGTTGACTGCCTGTAATTAGTCAACTGACTCTATTCAGTGTAATACGAGTGGTCGGGCGCGGACAACTAAAGATCCCCAGCAGTAAAAACACACACTCTCGCGGGTCTATGTCCACAAGAGGTGGGGGTTTGAAACACAAACAGCATATACATACATACACACACCGAGAGGAAAGGGAAGGGAAAACACAACGTGTAGTAGTGTGTGTAGCGAAGGCAAAATTATCAGGGTCATGATCTGAGGCCTGAAATAATAGGCAGCTGTTGCAGAGTATTACACATGACAAGCCCAGTGTGGTGTTAGTTAATCCCACCAAGGGCCGGGAGGACTCATCTTCAGAATCCCTGAATAAAATTGTTGATTTGCCTTTGGTTTCAACCTTGCCGTTGACGTGAGTTCATTCTTCTTGTATGTAGCTTACCGTGCTGAGATTAAACGTGACGTTTTAATCGTGACACCGGAGCAGACACAAACCACTAATCAAATGTAACTACATACCAAAGTTCGCTACATACTCTGTGCTTCCTGCATGTTACTGGATAAGTGGCAGTCATCTTTCACTCATAGGAAGATTTACAACATCATAATAAAGCCTGGTGCACTACTGAAAACGTTATGAGGGACGAACAAATACGATTTGGCATTCTGCAGGAAAAGCCTTATTTCTCGGGTGTGGAGAAATATCACCCTATGAGCCAATTAGGGGGGCATTAGTATAATAAGATGGGAAGACATGTAGAGTGAGTGTAAAGCATTGATGATAGGGGAAGTGAAAACATGTCAAGGAAGTAATTACAAAGAGTTCCTTTGGCAAAGCTCTATAATAGCTATGCTTTGGCTGCGTCTTCCCTTCCCTGAATCCTACTGCTGAGACATCACTGAATGGCAACTCCAGCCACACTACAGAGGAAGCACTACTTGTTCTACAGTGAGGATGTGCCATCTGGAGACCTATAGTACTGAAAAACATAGTTCAGAACTGCTCAACTTTAGATAACTTTCATTGTTGGGGATATGTAGACGTGGTGAAATGAAACAGGATTTCTTAGGTTACTGCTGTCACTCTCACACGGTCTCTACTACCTTTTCCAGCCAAACGGGGAGCTGTGCGAGGAAAAACTACTCATTCAACGTACCTCAAGCGACTGTCCATGTCTTTATGATATCCCAGAGTCGAACCGCGACTCCGTAGTCCAGTTAGCCTTCTAAAGTACAACTACTACTGCCTAAACCTCAACTCACGACGCCGACCAATCCGACAGCAACGCAACTTTCATCTTCTACCGTACGACAGAAGATTAAGAGCGTAGTGGGCGCGTAACACGTCACGTGCTTTTCATGGGACCAATTAGCGAACTATAAGCGCACTTTGAATAAAAATCCACAAACAACAGTGTAATAATACAGAGAGAAGAAGAAAAGTAATCATTAGCAAAAAAATGTGATCCAAAGTCCATTGGGAGTAGTATTATACACATTTCGGTCAGCTGTTGTGGTGAGCCTGTTCTCAGTACCACTGTGTCTGAGGCTGCAGCTGGGAGTACCCATCCTGGCCAGTGGGTGGAGGCTGCTGGTAGCCCGACACTGGCTGAGTCTGTGTCTGATAGCCACTTCTGGGGCTGGTAGGAGGGCTGCTGGCCCCTGCTGGGCCCCCTGCAGGGCCCCCTGCTGGTAGCCTCCCGAAGACTGGTAACCTCCCTGGTAGAATGTGGCACAGAGCAAAAAAAGATCACACGTTAACATTGGTGAGGTCGCAAGACAACGGCAAAGTCAACGACTCCTAAAACAATTCTTTTGGAGAGTTCCCCTGGGTGGCCCCTCTCTCTCATTTCCCTCTTTCCTCTCTCCCTTCCGAACCCACAACCACTCTGCGGTCTAGCAGAGCACTCTACTCATTGAGCTCACAAGGGCAGCTTAGACTTATGGAAATTGTTTGTTTAAATAGTGTCGTTCTGAGAGGGGTGCCCCCCGTACATGGTTTTTCACACAATGACTATTGTGTGATGTTGAATCCCCTTGCAAGTTGGCATAAAGCGGAAAACAATAGCGATAAAAATATTGTGAGCTGGTAATCCAAAGAACCTGTTGTGGCCACTGTTGGGGGCCTGGGGCTGCGCAGGTTGCTGCTGCTGTTGCTGATATCCACCATAGGATGGCTGCACGTACTGCTGAGGCTGCTGCTGACTGGCCACTGCACTCCCACCATACATTCCCTGTGGCTAAGGACACAGCACAGACACGATACATGATACACGTACAACTAGACTAGGTAGTAGCTAAACATTGTGCATTGTAAAGGAGCTGCTGTATGCAGACATGTGTAATACGCAGCTTCTTACGGTTTAGCAAACCTGAATAAGGATCACTAGAAAAAACCAACCGAGGGATAGCCAAGGCTAACTACTGTATATACACGCAAGAGTTGTATAAGACCGTGTGCCCAGAGTCTTTCCAGTACAGCTTCTTAAGCTTCAACACATTTATACACATCATACTTATTAGCACAGAGATGTTAACCCAGTATGGGAAGTTATGTGTGTATATGGCGAGTGAAGAGAGCCTCTGAATGCAGGAATTTCTGTGTGACGGGCACTGCACATAAACGTAATATTCTACGTGATTCTAAATACACGTGAAACACATGAAAAAGCAAACTGCTCACTTTTCTCGCCAAAAACGTGCAGCATTCCTCTAGTATACAAGTGTACATATGTACCTGAGCACTCCTTGTATCACCCCAGGTGGTCTGTGGGGGGTACCTGGCCGCTCCAGTAGCTCCTCCTCGGCCTCCGTACTCTCCTCCCCCTCCACCGTCCCTCCCTCCCATCCCTCCATCACTACCAGGTCGAGACAATAGGAACAGCTCAATGTAGCGATGACCTGCAATCAGACATAATACGTTCCTGGGTGTCACATATATATTATGGCTTTACAGGCCTTTCGCGAAAAAATGCTGCACCAAACAAAAATAACCTCAGTATTGCAGAAGTGCTATACTGAAAAATATCAATAATCCGTAGCAGTCTGACACAACAAGATGGTAATATGTGAGGGGGCATGGGAAAAGGGACCTATAATTATGGCTGGAATGTGAAAATTAAAGTTTTTGTGGTGTTTCCTCAAAAACTTAATTTTCACATTCCAGCCATATAGGTCCCTTTTCCCATATTATAAGGAATTCTTAGCCCTTTGTAGTTCATTCTCACACGATTTCCTCTGTACAATAGTTGTTAAGTGTGCATCGTGCTGTATAGAGCTATGTATATCAGCGGTGTTTCTGCGCCGCAAATCAGCGGTGTTTCTGCACCGCCCCTCACCCATATGTCCGTTGTGTTTGTCCATGGCCTTCTCAGCCTCCTCGTGAGTATTAAACAACACCTCTGCACTCCCAGACGGCCTCTGAAACTGATCAAACTCCACCACCACTTTGGCAGGGACGTGCGGCTGGAAGAACTTCGTTATATCTTCTTCCTTTGCGGAATAGGGGAGCCCCCTCATTTTGATGGTGTGACGAGCCTTTTCTGCAGGGTCGTCGAAACCTCCCCTGCCTCCCTGGGTTGGTCGTATTGGGGGATAAGCCACCATGTGTCCAGAGTCACCTCCACCCCCTCCCGGACCTCCGCCACCATACTCCGAATTATACTGCCCATACCCCGGCTGCGGGGTGTTGTAATTGTACCCTCCTTCTGGGTACGGAGTATACCCCGGACCTCCCCCGGCGTCCCCGTAGTTGTTATACCCTCCTCCTCCACCCCGCATCATACCCCGGCCCCTCCCTCTCCCCCCTCGGTCGTACCCGCCCCCAAATTTCCCTCCGTACCCGCCAGCTCCGTATCCACCGTACCCGCCGTAGCCTCCTCTGTCTCCTCCTCCTCCTCCCCACTGCCCCTGTGGTGGTGGGCGACTGTAGGGGGTTCCACGCCAGCGTGTCTCCTTCATGTTGGTCGGACGGACCTCCGTGTGGGTGCTTCGAAACACCTCTATGTATCTGGAGACACGACATTACAGGGGGTGGAGATTACAGGGGAAGTCCAGGTAATTGTCTCATTAAAAGAATCTACAGTTCAACAACAAGTTACGTGTTCAATCCCAGTATAAACACGTGAACGAATCTGGGCCTTGAACTACACATATGTAGGAGTTTAGGATTCTTGTTTTAGGGTGTTTAATACTGCATAGCTCGTTTTATGGTCATATAATTATTCCTGGCAAGCATTTCAAGAATGTGTAATTAGACTCCACCCATTTGGATGCATACTATGTATGCATGTAAGAACTGCACAGTTTATCAAAGTTTTGAAGTGTGGTTGCGCATTGAGTATGCATCATGGCGAAGCTGTTGGTCTTGTGTACGTGAACTGTGACGTGTCATGGGTGTGTTTGCACTCTACAAGCACATGAGTGAACTAAGCCACAATCAAACCTATTGGCCAACAACCTGGCAACGTCACATGCCCAACTCCAGCAGCTCGGAAATGTCCATAAATAGTCTGTACCAGTACAGAGGGCAGTGTAGCACGCACACACAGGCACACACACACACGCACGCACACAGGCACACACACACGCACAGTACCTGTGTCCCATCATCTGTCTGTTCTTGTACAGAGCCTTTTCGGCGTCGTCTGGTCTCACAAACTCCACGTAGGCCTCGCCAGTCCCTCGGTTCTCCGCGTCCACTTGCATTGTCACACCTCCAGCTACTATCGGCATATCTGTCCATGTAGGGAGCGGCAGAAATAGACAGAGTTAGAGCATGGTCAACACGGTGGGTCTTAAGAAGGCATTCAGTTACGTTGATCTTATTTCTTGCTCAAGGCTAAGCTTTTGCTCTGTTACAGCACTTGCATCTTACTTTAATGCATAATGTGCAGCTTACCAATGCTCACTCCGGTCATGCAAACCGGTGACTTATAATTATGTATTACACACATGCAAATGCCTCTCTCAATACACACTTTACACATTTGCACAGTTCCCCTAACTTACTCTCACATAATGCATCTGTAGCAGCCAGTGCTAGCGTGGACACACAAACACACACACACTGATCACAGAGTACCCAAGCAGTACAGGTGTATATTATGAGCACCCCACTCCTGAGGCTTATCCCAAACCTTGGAAGAACTGTCGAATATCTTCCTCTGTACACTTGAAAGGTAACCCCCGCAGTCTCACAACTCCCCCAGCTCCCCCACCAACTTTCTCCGACATACGGCCTTCCCACTCCAACTGCCCTTTGGTGGCCCTGAAAATCTCCACGTATCGTTTCCCCATATGCTCCTTGTTGTGCCCCAGGGCCTTACTCACATCTAACTCGGACGCTAGCTCCACAAACGCCTCGCCGAGGGCCGGCCGTCGGGAGCGAAGGAGAAACGGATCCCCTTGTCGCCGCCCGCGACCTGGCAGTCGTTGAGGAGGTCGAGAATCTCTCGTGAGGTCGCCGAGTACGGCAGGCCTCGCAGACGGACCACAAACTCTGTGCTACTTCCCTGCGGGCAAGGAGAAAGGGTGAGTCACACGAGTGTTCACATATCCTCAATGACGTATGGAAACAGGTGTAAACAAAGCCATCTAGAGGCCATAATACACCCACGTTATTAAAGCCTCTATTAAACAGGTGCGTCAAAAAGGAACAATGCAAGGAGATTTTTCCACGCCTATGAAATGTGCTTGACTGCTCAGGCACCGTTTATAGCTCGTGGCCAAAACACAATCACAGGAGTGGCCCCATTCACAGGGAAAATGCCCACACAAACTGTGGTTAGCCTCACATACACACACCCTGAGATGAACCTCACCCCCATTCTATGTACATTATGTATTACACTATACAACACTCACTCCTGGTTGACTGGCTAGTGTCTGATCAGCCGCTGCCTGGCTCAGAGGAGAGATCTCAATGTACCTCCGACCCATCATCTGGTTGTTGAGCTGCTTGGCCTTGTCCAGGTCCTCCTGTCCCTCCAGCTCTATCACTGCTTCTCCCTGCAGCCGCCCATCCTGACCCACCAGAATGTGGATCCCGTCATGACCGTTCCTGATGCGGCAGCCAGAGAAGAACTCGGCCACCTCGTTCTTGGTCGCGTCGTACGGCAACCCGCGCGCCATGATCCCCGTAGTAGTCCCCAGTCTCGGCGGCCTGGGAACCAAGCACACAACTACTCGGTCAAAACACTACAAAAGCTTAGAAGCTTCCACACAAAAACGTTTAACGTTAAACGTATACACTCACAATGAACTGCACATACCACTTCCCTGTATCCATCTGGACCGCCTTGAACTGGAGCTGAACCTTCGCTCTGCTGGGTGTGAGGAGAAGCCGCCATTTTAGCAACGCATGCGGCGGCGAAAGTCGATCGCAGGGTTACTTTATGCGCATGCGCATCTCTACTCGCCAGCCACTGGGGCGTGGTCAAGAGAGAGCAGCTAGCCAACACCGAGGGAAACACACACAGGCCAATGGCCGAAATGTCAGGTAACGTAAATTGCTGCTGCTACCTAGCAATGTAGTGTAGATCAGTTGGTCTCTATTGCCCACCTTCTATTAGCCGGCGAGAACCAGCTGGCCCGAGTGATACAGGAGCTGAAGGAACTTATCGGGGGAAAATGGAAGGCGGTGGCCCGGGAACTGGAATTCAGCACCACAGACATCGACGCTATCGTGTGCAGAGACGAGCACGACCTCAAGGGAACAGATCCACCGTTTCTTCGAGCAGTGGAAGATGCGTGAAGGACGCGGTGCCTCTGTCGAGAAGTTGTTAGAGGCTGTGAGAGCAGCAGGTCTACGGACTATACTAGATGATCTGCAACGTGCGCTCCCAGGTAGCCATGCATACGTCTCTTACTAGCACCATTACGCAATCAATGCTCTTCTGTGCAGATGGTGAGGAGAATTTTCTTGCCTTTGAGTGTCCAGGATATGTCGCTGGCTTTGTCATTGGAAGAGACGGGAAGAATCGCAGAGATGTAGAATCAAAGACAGACACAAGAATCAGGGTTGAAAAGAAGGAAGGTGACACGGCAGCCAACACAAGAGTGATCATAATGGGCGAAAAGGAAAACCGCCAGAAGGCTCTGTTTCTCATAGTCCAGAACCTTCGTCGCAAGACGGCTCTACATACAGCGACCACTGAGACAATCGATATACCGAATGAAGATTGTGGACAGGTCATTGGCAGGAAGGGGGCAAATGTTAGGGCCATAGAAAACCTGACCGGCACTAGAATCAACATCAAGCAACCAAATGCCCTGGACTTCTTCTTAAGGTTTGAGGTTAAGTGTAAGATTACAGGGTCAGCCGAGCAGATTGAGAAGGCCAAGGAGATGATCAGAAAGTCAGTGGAGGGTAGTGACATCGCTGGGGCAGCTTTTATTGCCGCATTCATGTTGAAGGTCATGAAGGAAATTGAGGCCGAAGGCCACACTTTTGGTAAGTGCTTACATAGATCAGTGCTTACGATTAACCCTCAGCGTGCATGCGCAGCTAGGGTTGGTTTGTTAGTGTGTGTGTCTGTCCGTTCGTATGGGGCGCCATTTGTCTCAAAATTCGCGTTCACCAGACTACCCCTTTTCGCAGCGTTTAGCTAAATCGTTGGATACATATAGCTAAATCGTTGGATGGATATAGCTAAATCGTTTTATGGATATAGCTAAATCGTTGCATGGGTATAGCTAAATCATCCGAAAGATATAGGCTAAATCGTCAGGTAATTATAGCCAAATCGATGGATATGATATAGTGGCCAAATCGCCAGAGAGATATCGTCGGAGACTCTCCGCTCTATGCATGTGCATAGCCTTGTAGGGCCACGTGTGACCAGGCACAGCTTTCTTCAATCATAGATGATTTGCATCAGCAGAGAGTGCTTGCACAATGGCCTGTTCAATAGATGACTGCAACTCCGCCATTTTGTTATCAGTGAGGGGCGGGGTCCGGGAGGGAGGCGGCTGGAAGTTGAGCTCATGCGCACGATCTAATCGTGCAATCTAGCACCCCCCGCCTATATCTATTCAACGATTTAGCCAAAGATTTAGCTATATCTATCCAACGATTTAGCAATATTATGTATCCAACGATTTAGCTCTATGTATCCAACGATTTAACTATATGTATCCAACGATTTAACTATATGTATCCAACGATTTAGCTAAACGCTGCGAAAAGGGGTAGCCTAGTGAACGCGAATTTTAAGACAAATGGCGCCCCATACGTTCGTCTGTTAGCTACCACGTTTTTTGTGACTACACGTAACAAGACAACAAAATAGCAGTACCAACAGGTTTATAGCTACATTGGCTTCATTTTTTAAAAAAGTGATTTTCGTATAACTCTGCATTCAAAAGTTATGGCGTGAAACAAGCCAATATGCAATGCACTGGCTTACCTCAACCGGGTCCGCTTGCTCTGTGTATCTTGAAGGCACATGAGGTCACAACGAAGGGCGTGTATCGACTCCCGCATGCTATATATCTACTGCTGCTATAGCTACCCCGTGTCAGACTCTCCACCAGGTATATACTAACGGAGCGGGAGACCAGGTGTAAACACATACTATTTATAGCCCAGCCCATCAATTAGCGGTACCGCGCATGCGCAGTTCGCCGAGGGTTTGCACTTCAGTGCTTTTCATTGGAAAATGGGGATGAGCCAACAAATGGCTGTTTTTGACATGAAGCTGCCACCCATACCGAAACAGATTCGCAAACACATGCACATGCTTACAGAGGATGTGAGAGTTAGAGAAATACACGATAAACTGGCGTTATACAGCCCGCTTTATATAATTATAGAGACAGGTTCTACACAAAGCGCATATGAATGTCAACACGCAATTTTTTCCCTTCACACCACTGCTTGATTCTTTGTGCGTGCAAGTTCAAAAAGCCTTTTAACATATCTAGGCTTCAGGATTAGTGAAAAGCACTGAAGTGCAAACCCTCGGCGAACTGCGCATGTGCGGTATATTAGTATGCGTTTACGTGTCTATACTCGCGGTCTCCCGCTAGTATATAGCTCGCGACACGGGCTAGCTACAGTAGTAGATTAGCATGCGAGAGTCGATACACGCCCTTCGTTGTGACTTCTTGTGCCTTCAAAATAGAGCAAGCAGACCCGGTCCTGTGCTAAATATAAGCGCATGCGCATTTTCCGCAGCGATAAAATGGCCGCCTACGTACAAAATGGTGGAAGCGCTCTAGCTTTGCAACGGAGCGTTTTCAGAGAAAACCGTTCGAACGAAATTTTTGACCTTCATTGCCCGTTCGGTAGGTGGTAGCCTTTGTGAGACGAAAGAACACTCGAGAAGGTAACAGACACAGACAGACAGCTACAGACAGACCCAACTACTGTAACCCTCGCTGCGCATGCGCGCCGAGGGTTAACAACAGTTGGCTCACTCTCTCTCTCTCTCTCTCTCTCTCACTAATTATGCCTGGTCAATTGACCCAAGATTCTAAAGCGCTTGCCACCCTTACCACTGCATTATGAAGAAAGGGTCCATCAATGCAACGCGGAGTCAGTTAACCCTCGTCACGCATTTGCAGCGAGGCTTACATCTCTCTGTCTCTGTGTTTGTCTGTTACCACTACATTGGCCCAACAGCTCCAGTGCTATAAAGGCATAATTAATTACCAAACGTTTGACTGGGAGCGGGACTATTATTATTATTATTAAAGCCTCAGTCGGTGCGAATGTTCCATTAACTAGAGTTGCCGGTTTCGTCTTGAATACCTGTCATAGGTATAGAGTGTATAATTGTACAGTCTAAGTGTCCTGCACATATTTATAGTACCTTTATCCCACCAGACATTCCAGTGGCAATGACAGATGAGAGAGCTCAACAGATCATAGACAAAGCAATGGAGTCAGGTAGTCTGCAGCAGAGGAATGTGGTGGGAGTTATTACAGGTCTGATGGGAGCAGGGAAAACCACTCTCTTGTTCCATCTTTTTGGCCTGGCACCCCCAGACCTGTATACAAGCACAGGTGTTACAGAGCGGTCATTTCGAGGTTTGCTCCGCCATATTATGCACCTTGCGGGTGGAGCATGGAAGCGACTCTCTTATGAGAACATTCGTGAGTTTCTTGCCCCTCTTATCCAAGTTGGAATGAAGGAGGACAATGTTCACCATCTTGCTGTTAGCATTATGCATGCTATGAATCCAGTTGACACTTCAACCTTACCAAGCTCTCCCTCAAGTGAGGAACAAGCAGTGGCTGAATCGTTCACTTCTTCCCCCTACCACTTTGCAGGAGAGTCAAACCTGCCAGAAAATGATTCCACTAGTCAAATCAGCCACAGGAGTATATCCCAGTCTCGTACTAGAACTAGTCCACATGATAGACACAGGCGGTCAACCTGAGCTAATGGAAGTGATGCCGTCACTCGTCCACCACGCCAACCTTGGAATAGTCGTGGTCAGTCTTGAGCGTGGTCTCAATGAGCATCCCGATGTTCATTATCATAAAAAGGGAAAAACGTTTCGCGAGACTCTCTTCTCAGTACTCTGAAAGAGATGTTATCCTGAAGCTTGCTTCCACCTTCCGAGTCAAGAAATATTCTCAGGAAGCTTTTCGCCTTCTCATTGTAGCTACACATCGTGATTGTGTCAAAGGTAACTTACAGACTCATGTAGAAGTACTCAACCGTGAGTTGCGGAGCATCTTACATTCCTACTTTAAAGACAGAGCTCATGTCTTTTCAAATCACCTGATAAAATAGCCTACGTCTTGAACTTAAAGAATCCAGATGATGATGACGAAAGGTTTTAAACCTGATACGCGAAGAGTGGAAAACCAGGTTCTGGAAAGAGCTTTGCTACACCACGAATTTTTGTCTTCGAGCAAGACCTGATCCAGTTTGCTGAAACTGACAAAAAGCGCGATATCTTGACCCTTGAGGAATGCAAGCTGGTTAGTGCAAAACTTAAAATGAGTAATGAAATGGTGGAGGCTGCTTTGGTCCTGTTACATCGCCAGAACACCTTCCTTTACTTCAGAGATATTCTACCAGGTCATGTGTTCATTAATCCGCAGGTCCCCCTGGACATTGTCAACGAAATAGTTCATTTCATGTACAAAGTGAATAATGGTGAGTTCGACAACTTCCCTATGAAACTTGTGACTCAACTAAACAATGGTATTGTCACAGAAGAATTACTTAGCTATGACAAGATTTCACCCCACTTTCAAAAAGGCATCTACGAGGTTAAAGATGCTATTAAGCTGTTTTGTCATAACTTCACTTTAGCTCCACTTTACCCTAAAATCCCAGTTGATAATGAAAAAGAGCAAGAGTACCTGATGATGTGTTTGACGCCTTCTATTCCTGAACAAGAACTCCATAATTACTTTCCCAAAACATCTCACACTGTTCCACTAGTTGTCAAGTTCAGCAGTGGCTGCGTTCCTCTTGGCTGCTTTGGTAGCACCATCTCCTGTCTTCTCTCCACATATGGCATGAAAGTCACCACGAAAAGTGGTGTACCAAAATGCCTTGCCCACAACATTGCCTCCCTCCATGACCCAGAGCTTGTTGTAGACATTGTTCTTGTTGACTTTACCCAACATCTTGAAGTTCACATTAGTTTGGATGATAGCATTCACAGTTCAGCTGCCAACATTGCAGATGAAATAGGTATGAACGTATTAGGGCAGTCCAGATAGTTATGAAAGACATGCAGCTTGACATTGAAGTTACACCTGCCGTTGTTTGCACTGCACCAAAGAAACATGGCAGAATTTGGAAATAAATGTCTACTCGCTGCTGCTTGGATCTACCACATCTAAACCAGATGCCAAAAACTTTTGTGGATGGAATAAAGATGCAAACTCAAAGCCAGACCTTCCTGAAATGTTAAGACTCAAAATCCCAGAAAAAGTTGGAGCCAAATACGCAAGTTTTGGAACACTTCTCCTCAATGATACGACAGGTGCCCAAGTTGAGGGCATTGAAAGTGACTGTCATTTCCAAAACAAACGTATCGTACTGAAGATTCTTCGATGTGGCTAGATCAGAGCCTACTCCAGTGACCTGGCAAAATCTTATAAAGTTCTGGAACAGTCTGGTCTCCATTCACTGGCTGATGGCATAAAAGCCCACGCTCAGAAGCTACACACTGCCTACAAAGCACATAGATAATGCTATCATGAGCAATGTTTTTTTGTGCGTATGATGTATCCCATATCGCAAGCGCAGTTTACTAGATCTGGGGCGCAAGTGAGCTTTGCCAATAATGGGCGGAACTCGGAGCAAGAAGTCGAGGGGGGGCGCGCAAGAGGGGGGCCGGGGCTTGTATCGTTGGGCATGCGCGCTAACTTATCCCACCGGCCCGTTGGGCATGCGCATGAACACTGTTTTGCAGCTGGCCCCACCCACACCTAAAGTCGTGACAGAAGAGGGAGGAAAACACAGAAGGGCAAAGCTATGGCGGACAGGTAAATTGCAGCAGATGATCGGAGTATCGATATCATGGCAGTGTCTTGATTCATTATCGTAACACGGGCCGGTTGTGGATGGGGATGTACTGAATGCTAAAGACGTCCCAGCGGTAGTTGAGAGATATTTGACGTCCGAAACGAATCAGAAATTTATGACGTGTGTTGAAGTTCCCAAGCCACAGTGGAGTCGATTCATCTACAGTCTTCTAGACCAAAGGATCGCCTGTTTACATATCATTGATGAGTTTGTGAGCAAGAGGAGCCCAGTCCTACATGGAGGGTCATTGTAGATGCCCTCAGAGATCCACTTATTAATCAGCCTCGCTTGGCTCAAGATATTGAGCGGAGGTTTTGTCCTCTTCCCTCTGCAGCAACTGGTATGATTATGTGACACAGCCATCTGCAACATTATCACTTAGGCTGAATTTAGGACCATCAAATTCCTCTAGATCATCGGATATTACTAAGAATTGCCTTTAGTGCACTATCATTTAGTTAGGAGCGAATGCAATCCCAGGTAATCGTACCTAGCCATAATGAGGCCTTCTTTTCATCTCCAGGAAGTTCTGCTCCATGTGGGCCAGCTCCTGTTTCCATATCATCTCAGTCCCAGATGTCTACCAGTGTTATAGTGTCTCCAAATTTTGGTGAGTTTTGCCTAATGCTTCTTGCTGCTCTTACTGTAAAAAATACTACAGGAAATGATATTATTGACAAAGTAAAAGAAGAAATCAAGATTTTGGAAAATATGTTCTCCCAGCTGAGGAAAACAGTTCTCACTTTTCTTGAAAAGAAATGCATTGGAGTAGACATAATTGTCTTCAATCTGACAACCATGTCGGCATCTAATATGTCTCAGCACGAGCCCTACTTTGAAAAGAACTTAGATAAACTTGAAAAATGCAGAGAACACAGGCCATTATTTTCACGTCTGAATCTCCACTGGAACTATCTCTCCCCTCAATTGCTTTACCACCTGGTTCGTAAATTTCTGCTCAAAACGGTTGCCGAAGAAGAAATGAGTTTATATGATGAACGCCTTACACAGTTCAGGTGCAGCACACTTTTGAAACTCTTTTGTCAGATAGAAGAAGAAGATATCGAGCCACCGGAGGGGTTTTCAAAAATCGTGGCAAAGTTTGAAACACCTATTTCGGAGGGAACAACGCTGCAAGATGTTGAAAGGTTTAGATTGCGTTTGGCAAGGCACTATAGGCTGCGTGACTTTGCACTGATGCTGAAACCTAAAGTTAGGCCTGGATCATTCGTTGTCTCATTTGTTGTGCCAAATTCTGTCCTTGAGAGACTAAAAACTGACATCCCCGCAAGATATATCTTTGAGATGCTTGACGTCACGAAACTGGACGTAGTTGAATGTTGTGTGGTATCGACACAAACAGATCCAGGTACCCCTGGTGAATCCATGAAGACCAGTAAAGTCCCTGGAGAGATCTCAACAACCCTCTATGCTGCTGGTATGGCATTATTTATAAGGGATTTTGATGACCAAAATATGCCACTGAGAAAAGTCCCTGACTTGCTGTAATACAATAGGTTTCTCCATTTATACTCGCTCAAGAGAAAGTCTTAAACAGGGTTGCTAACATGGCAATTGATCATGGCTAAAAAAATTGGGCACAAGATTCATCTCACCCACGGCATGAAAGCGCCAAACACATGTCAACTGCTTCCTACATAGTACTCTGTGCTATACTTACCTTGTGTTGCGTTGTATTGCAGACTTTCCTGGTAGCTCAGTGGTAGAGCACTCATCTAGTGAACAGAATGTCGGTAAGTTCGAGTCCCACCACCTAAAGCAGCTCTCTGAAAAAAGTGCCCTCAAAGCCATAAAAAGTAAGAACCTAACTTTGGATGGGTGTAGCTGAAAAGGAGTGGGCAAAGGAAATTTTGTGTGTGTCAGCATTGCTACTGACAAGGTGCACCACTGGAGAAAGCCTTCACGCTTATTATAGTCGGGGCGGAAGTGTTTCGGCGCGCGATATCGCCACTGCTTCGCAATCGGGTGCGCATGCGCGAACACACCCATTACTGCACGCGCACTGTGGCCGTGGGGCGTGACTAGACTTTGGCCGGCCGCCTAGCTAGCTAGCTCCATTGAAAATGACATGTAAGTGCGCTGTGCCTGTGTTCATGTAAAATGTAAGCCTGGATATCTATCGCATATACAGCCTCAGTGGACGGGAGCCAGCTAGCCCGAGTGATACAGGAGCTGAAGGACCATATCGGGAGAAACTGGAAGGCGGTGGCCCGAGTACTGGAATTCAGCACCACAGACATCGACGCTATCGTGTGCGGAGACGAGCACGACCTCAAGGAACAGATCCACCGTTTCTTCGAGCAGTGGAAGATGCGTGAAGGACACGGTGCCTCTGTCCAAAAGTTGATCGAAGCAGTGAGAGCAGCAGGTCTATACGGACCATACTAGATGATCTTCAACGTGCACTCCCAGGTAGGTAGCCATGCATACGTCTCTTACTAGCACCATTACGCTGTTGTGGTACATTGTCCATAGAGCTGGAGTGTGGTGGTATCATGCCGGTTCAAGAAACGGCACGTGATGCTGCCACTCGCGGCACTCCCACTAGTGAACGTGATTTAGTTCGCATGAAGAGGCTCCAGAAAATGTCAATCAGCGACGACCCCTCCTTTCAACCCAGCTCCTCACCCAGTGGTCCAAGACGGTCTGCAAGCAGTCCATCAAACAGTCAAACCGCCACCGAGTTGGCCAAGAATTCGGAAACCTCACCTATAAAGCAGGTGTCTCCAGCTCATTTGAAGTAGGTCAACTGGTGAAAGTTGATCACAAGCCAAAACCATGGTATGGAGTCATCTATTATATTGGTGCGGGCCGTCAACACTGACTGCCCTGGACTTCGCCGGCGTAGAAATGGTACACAGTACACATGTATACTCTATCAGTCCTACTTCAGTATTGTTTCCTAGGATGAGGTAGTTGAAGGAGGGCACTCGGAAAATTTCTTGGAAGAGGTACTTCACCTGTGATGATGGCCACGGTCTGATGCTACCCACTGTCTCGACTGAAGCTGGACGACAGTTTGACCCTCCCAGTCTAAACAGGAGGATCCACTAAGCCGGGGGCGACGATGTGGAGAGAGATAAACCATGCCCTTCCACTCCTACTCAACCAACTGCATCCCGCAAACCGAGTGATCCGCCGTCTCCAGACTGATGAAGGGTGCCGCTGCAAAACCAACCCAGAAAGAAATGCCAGGTGTTTTTGAGTCTACCGATAGTTCTGAAACCGGCGGTAAGTTTGTCTTTCTGTCCAACAATAATGTCAATCAATGCTCTTCTGTGCAGATGGTGGGGAGATAGGTTGTCTTGCTTTTGAGTGTCCAGGAGATGTCGCTGGCTTTGTCATTGGAAGAGACGGGAAGAATCGCAGAGTTGTAGAATCAAAGACAGACACAAAAATCAGGGTTGAAAAGAAGGAAGTTGACACGGCAGCCAACACAAGAGTAGTCATAATTGGCGAAAAGGAGAACTGCAAGAAGGCTCTGTTTCTCATAGTCCAGAACCTTCGTCGCAAGACGGCTCTACATATAGCGACCACTGAGACAATCGATATACCGAGTCAACATTGTGGACGAGTCATTGGCAGGAAGGGGGCAAATGTTAGGGCCATAGAAAACCTGACTGGCACTAGAATCAACATTGAGCAACTCAAGGGCCTGGACGTCTTCCTAAACTTTGAGGCCGTCGCTAAGTGTAAGATTACAGGGTCAGCCGAGCAGATTGAGAAGGCCAAGGAGATGGTCAGAAAGTCAGTGGAGGGTAGCGACATCGCTGGGGCTGCCTTTATTGCCGCATTCATGTTGAAGTTCATGAAGGAAATGGGGGCCGAAGGCCACACTTTTGAATAGGCACAATATTTTTTTACAAAGTACCACACCTTTTTGATTGGCATTGAATGATTATTATACTGTGTGTTATCAGCAACTTGGAATAAGATAAAAACTATAATACAGTCTAAAACGATAATCGATGCTGATAAAGGCTACTTACGTACTATATATACATAATTATATCGGCATTAAAAATATGGGGAATGGTTAATAACGGTTATTGGCTCGTGCAATCTAAGACAGATAGGGAGTTAGAGAAGTTTATCATCACAGGTTGCTACTAGAGTCGACTGGCTCCAGCTTATCACCCCCGGAGACCTCGGCCAGCTGGGCCCCGTCAGTCCCGTCTGTCCTGTCAAACTTGTTTTTGACTCCCAGCAGCTTCTTGAGGTTGTCGCTCATGAAGTAGGGCTTCTCTTCCGTCCCGTCGTTCCTCTCGTAGTCTTCCACTGGAGGACGAGGGGCAGAGGTTACACACACACATATGGTAGGTAGTAGTTTTTCCAACAGCTGTGTCATAACAAACCCAGTTACCACACCTAGCACCTTTTCAAAGACAGAAATGAGTTTCTTTCGTGCAATCAGTTAAACTACGCCTGTACACAAGAATTTATGAATCTTAGAGGTCAGAAAAAACTCATTAAGCCCTAAAAAATGGTGATAGCAAGGATTTTTCGCAAACGCAGTACCCCACCAATACATCACTTATGGCATTATGGCCAGGGGCTGAAGTTTTGTCCAACCGGACGTTACCTATTGCCACATGCGGTTTTCGAACATTAGGGTAACACCAGGAATCAATTTGAAACTGGTTACGTGCAAGAGATACATTGGTTTACGTACGTGCACAGATGAAGATGGTGTCAACTGCCATGTGGAACACACTCATGAACCCAGACGCTATGAAATACGCCAGCGTTACCAGAACCTATTGTGGCAACAAAACACAATATTCATTGCAGACCACAGCATAATAGGTGTGCACAATGCATAATTATTACACGTACCATGACAGGGATTAGGTAGTAATTGAGGGGTTGGCCCCACAGCTTTTCGCCCTGGTCTTGATATGGCCCAAACCCTAAGTAGGCCAGCACTCCTACAGAAATGGAAATTCTCATAATAATGTCATCGATGCACAGAAAACATATTAAACGGAATGTGACACTTAATTTTACAAGAAATGTTACTAAAACAAGGACATTGCATTATGCACTGTTATATACCATTTTCTGAAAACTCACCGATTACGCAGACAATAAATATCTTTCCCAGGAACAGCAGAAACGCCACAATTCTGTCTTTGACTGCTGTCCTGTATGTACCAAACACACACACACATGTGCAGTGCATGTACAGAGCTAAACTATGACTTACGTGAGGAGGTTCCTGATCATTAACTTGACCGCCTTGCAAGCTCCAGTACAGAAATCATAGCCATAGATGGCAATCTAACAAACAGTAGATAAACACATGAGTAGCTCACAAACACTGTCGTTGTACATATAAACATTTGACAAAAGTATACGCAAACCAGTTTTTCCACTCTGCGCACGTGGAAGGGTAGTGTAGTCAGTAAGCACACTAGAAGAGGCAAAAACCATTACCAATCTCTACTGGATGTGCATCCAAAAGAACCCACACAAAAGAATGTTGCCACAATTTCAGCAAGTAAAATGTTGGCAATGAGTAGTTAGTTACACACAGCCTGTATACACACCTCGATGTAGGCCTGTCTGTTGACGTATTTGAAGAACTTCTCCAGGAGCCAGAAGCAGCACTGGAGGATGCAGAAGATGATCTTGGTGATCCTGCCAGTCTTGTCCTTGAGCTTCCTCTGCAGGTAGGCCAGGATTATCCTGATCATCTGGATGATGGCTATGATGAGGGCCCCAAATGCCAGAGACCCAGAGTGGAATCTGGGGGAATATAAAGGAATATGAATGTGCGTGAAAATGAATGATGCAAGCAGTTGTATGAACTGCAAATAACAAGTTAGTGCCATGATGCAGGGATCCAGAAACGAAGTCTATTCTTGCTAGGGCTTGTGCCCGTATTGATAAGGAGAGCACTTCCACAGTATGGGCGGAATGTATGCAAAATAGAGACTATAAGACATAATTATATAACTCACAGGAATGCTCTTCCTAAAGAGCCCAGCACAGCAAAGAGCGGCACATCCTGACATCAATACAAAAACCAGTGAATCAAGGCACTCAATACACGGTCCCATCGTTACACTACAGGCAAGGGTCCATTGGCATATACAGGACAGGACTGTAGCAGTATGAGATACACGTGTAAAGACCGAGACACTATATATGAAAAGTATACTTATAGCATACTAGCCACAGAGAGTAGAAAAGAAAGAAGCATGCGTACTCTATACATAAAATCGTATAAGTAGCATATATAGAGACCCCATGTGGGGCCAGTCTAGCACTATAGCCAAGTCTTAGATGGCAACTGTATTGTATCTATTGAATGTGCTGAGACTCCTAAGAAAAAGACCCTAGCTGGTAGAAGCCAGGGGCGACGCAAGCGCTACTGGCGAGGTACGGGGGGTTACACATGTACCTTGGGTTTCCTGTATGCCCAGTACCAGTATCTATTGAATGTGCTGAGACTCCTAAGAAAGAGAACAAGACCCTAGCTGGTAGAAGCCAGGGGCGACGCAAGCGCTACTGGCGAGGTACGGGGGGTTACACATGTACCTTGGGTTTCCTGTATGCCCAGTACCAGTATCTATTGAATGTGCTGAGGCTCATAAGAAAGAGAACAAGACCCTAGCTGGTAGAAGCCAGGGGCGACGCAAGCGCTACTGGCGAGGTACCGGGGGTTACCTTGGGTTTCCTGTATGCCCAGTACCAGGAGGCAAAGGCCCCGGCCAGCGTACACTCTCCCAGGGCCAGGATGTAGTTACCAATCCACAGGAGGCCAAACAGGTGGTAGATGTGCATCCCCAGTAGAGTACTGCAGTCAATGTACAGTATAGAATGCGAATGCAAAGATGAGACAGAACGTGGAACGTATGCACGCGCGTCAGTCGTAAACACAAAATGGTGGACTTAGCCAAGGCAAACAAAATGCTCAAACTCTTCAGGTAAGAGAAAACGATTTACTTGTCATACGCTAGTATGTATACATATTGCTTTTGGCACCTGTCATAGCCACAAATGATATAAACGTACTTGGAGGTGACAAATTCGTCAAAGAGGCAGCTGATGTTGCCGATCTTTCTGCCGATCTCTCTGCTGCCATTGTAGACAGCCAGTACACCCATGGTGGTATCCACCAGGACCCTGCCATTGGTAGAGGCATTGTTGATCTCCTCCAGATCCAGAGCATTAATCTCCTGTGCAAAAAAAATGTGAGCTACGGGCAGGCATCAATAATGGACAACAATGGATACTGTAGCAGTGGGTGTATAGGGTAAAGTTAGGGTGAGTGCACACTTGTACGTGCTTTTCATGCCTTCAGCCATTAAAGATGACTTCAAACCCCTTCCTGCCTCTCTCCTTCCCCCTAACCCTCCCTCCCTCCCTACATCGATGTCACAGATGTCTCCATTATAGAGCGGATCTGAGCTAAGCTCTGAGATGGTCCTATCCTCCACACTCAGGGTCTCGGTGGCCAGAATACGGTAGGTCGGAGTGGAGGCTGTCAGCAGGAACCTAGAGACAGCCATCAGTCAAGGAAAACCATTATCATCCACCACAACATATGTACATAGGTTCTGTGTTCATTCATTCATGATGTGTGGGGCACTCGCGGGGGCTCATTTAGCTGTATACAAACGCAGTGAAACTTATACTGAAATCACCCGTTACGTTACCATTTTGAGCTAGACCCTATCTCTCTCTCTGCACATGTTCTTAGTATTATAAACTAATGCGTGGAGAAAAGGCACACACAAGGAGTGAGAGTCACTATAGACTAGAGAGTATATGTGGGCACAGGTATACAAGGATATGGTACGGGAACTAAAAATGCACAGCAGGTGCTGGGTCACTGCCGACGCAAGATAGGAGTAATGCATTCTATGCCCCTGCGCGTGCGCGAGATAGACCGCGGCACGGTCGGTGCGATGGGGCAATGCGACATTATTGTGAACCTGCTAACACAGTACATATGTATAACGTATATAGAGAAGGTATATAGGTAAAGGGGGATACACAGCCACAACGGCCCAGTACAAGAAGAGCATTATGAGGAGGAGCCAGGTGAGAACGGGATAGAACACACTTGTTGGAACACCTCCCACCGCCCTGTATGTGTGGACACAGAGCTAATGAGTTTCGCACGGTGTGTGTTGGGAGGTGGTGGTTACTTGGCCGCCTCCTGGATGATGGCGATGGAGATTCTGATCTTCTTCCCGAGGAAGATGAGGATGAGGACTATCACAACCACAAACACCGTCCCTATAATACCTGCATTGATGAAATAACACCCCCTTCAATCAATTATTGATTCAGTGAAGAAACTCAGGCCGTCCCATTCACGTGTGCATAACATGCTAACTTGAATGTAGGCGATCGGAGATTCCTTTAATGTGAAAGCCTGGGTTACAATACACGCATGCTCTGGGTGGGGTTAAACTCTTTCGACGCCATGGGGATCTGCTTAAATAAGCAGATATTGAGTATTAACGCCTAGTTTTATAACCTCCATATAAATTCTTATGGACTTATGGAGGCTCTGGACACATTTGTGCCCGTGGCTGGTTAAGGTTAGCTACTGTGAGTGAGCACATTATTATGCTGTAATGGAGCGTACCGGTAGAAATGGGTATAACACACACTCTGGGTTCATGCTTGTATGGGGGCTACATACAGTTCGAGCTATAATATACCAACCATGCAGCAAGAAAGCACACCAAAGAGTTGGACACTGCATCTCACCAATGGCGAGCCAAGTCTCCTTCTGGTAGCGGAACCAAGGTAACTGCGACGAGATGAAGGAGCGAAACACCTCAGTCTGCACGCACAGTCTGGCAGAGAGGGTCTCTGTCGAGTTGAGAAAATCAGTCAGGGAATCCTCCTCTGAGTCGAATCTGTTGAAAAGGTTCTCCGTGTCTTGGAAACAGTAGAACTGGTAGTAGGAGAACCCAGAGACTGTAGGGGGGGCAGAGAGACAACGTGCCAACTTAACGTTCCGCGACAAAGTGTGGACCTGTGCATGTGTATATGCATTGTAAATATGAAATGTGAATGCATACCGCAAGGTTAAGTAGCGTCGGTATCAAATAAGGAAAAAGTAATGTGAGACATTTTTTGTCAAGGATGTTGAAATTGTTGTGGTAAGCAACGGGATAGTTTCCCACATGAGAAAAATGAAGGAAACTTGGTACAGAGTGCAAGTGCGTGTGTGTGTGTGTGTGTGTGTGTGCTAGTGCTGTGTTCTTAGCTGACTGGCTAAAACAAGCAGAGGGACAGCAATAATGGTGACCCAGACAATCACTGGAGCAAACAGCCACATCAGCAGTATGTAGAGAAAGGACACGGCCACCGTAACACCGACACCACTGCAGAACAACACACACATCCAATGAGACTGCTAGCTAGATGCTATGCTGTAGATACTCAATAGAAATGTTAGTGTGAGTGGTCCACTATTCCTCGTGCAATAAAAACGCCAACCCTTACATTTGGCAATCTGCAAATCTTACCATAAAAACGTCCTCCCTTTATACAGAAATGTACAAATCTCAATGTATGGGCAGGACAACCTGTGTCATCCCTATACTGTATACTAAGTACTACCGTACTTACAAGATACTATACTAAACGTCCGTCACATTTTATACAGAAATGTACATCTCAATGTATGGGCAGGACAACCTGTGTCATCCCTATACTGTATACTAAGTACTACCGTACTTACAAGATACTATACTAAACGTCCTCCCTTTATACAGAACTGAATGAGTGACGTACATTAGGAGTGCAGGCCAGACGATGGTGAAGTCCCTATACACCTCCAGCAGGAATTGCCTAGCCTCGACCAACAGAGCTTGAGCACTGGAATATGCAAATGTACATACATACATAGTATAGTATAGTAATAATTATATGGAAACACTGAAAACAGAAAAAAGAAGGAGAACATTGTAGAGAGATTATGCTGTAGAAAACAGTAGAGAAAAAAACAGAATGTGTAAATGGACTAATAACTAGTCTTAAATATACAAGTTGGATGGTTAAGAATAGAGGTTAGGAGGGGGGGGAATCAAACAAGTGAGTCAATTTTGAGTGCCCTAGCCCTACTACTCTAGATCATCAGTGTAGCAATAAAACTCACAATGATCCATGACAATGGAGTCAATGGATGCACTGGTGAGGACTTCTCTAATTAGGGTGTCGTTCAGTGCTGGGTCAGGCTCGAAATTGATGGTGTCATTCACAATCCCACGCAGGTCTAGAAAGGTCGGGATACACCTCCGGGCAACTACATTCATTATCGTGGAGAGAGAGAGAGGAGGGAGAAAGGGAGGGAGGGAGAGAGGGAGGAGAGAGGGGGAGAGGGAGAGAGGGAGGGAGGGAGGGAGGGAGAGAGAGCAGCATATGTATATTATACAGCTACATAAAACTCCATCCTGGTCTGAAGTAACATGTAAAGAGTGTAAGGGCCGCAGGTTGTAAGGAAGCCTCCAAAAATGATACTTGTATGTAAATGAGGTCCATCAACATACAAAAGAATGTCCGAACCAGGGCATCACATTGGTTTTAGACACCATGAACGTGCACTGTACTCATACCGGCTTCACTCCTGAGGTAGTAGGGTGCACACCTCTCATTGGCAATGTCACCCACCAGATCCTTTGGACACAACAACACACACACACACAGTTCAGTTAGTTATATACTTCTAAATCAATGCAATACACTGCAACACGAGCGAATGACCACAGCACAATTCAGATATATAATATGTAGAGTGGTTTGCTTCACTTCCCAATTGAGGTATATACACCCATGGTCTCCCTTAGCTCACCGCGATAAGTCCGGCAGAATCGAAGGAGTTCAGGTCAGTGACATTGCGGTATTTGTCTGGATCCACTTCGTCTACGCAGACTGGGTTGTTTCTCACTCCAAACTCATTCTCCTCCGGGCACTCGGCCACAACACACCTGTCATGAGCCAGCAGGCAGTTGATCTATGGCTGGAGATCACTCACGAAAACCAATACACCAACGAGTGTGTGTGCAGAGTCTGATGTAACACAGTGAAAAAAGCTAGCATCTGTAATTACTCCCGCAAAAAAAACGCTATGTACCAAAGTCATTTTTATGTAACCTTTGCTTGATTTTTTTAACACCTTTACGTGTACCACCAAACAATAATGGTATGCTATTACAATGCTTTGCTTGCCTCTACATACTGTATAAGGTGTATGTATGTAAATGGTTAACAGCAGTTGTTGTAATGTATGAAATAGTGGCATCCGTCTACTTCAAACTGACCCTATATATAAACTGTTAGGAAATCACGTGTGTGTGCATGTTGCCCATAGCTACTAAATGGTGTGTACGAAACTCACCGCTGTTCTTGCCGTAGCAACATATGAAGCGACTTGCGTGGAACCGAGGCTTACTACCACGTTGCGTAGCTTTAGCATTGGTCTAGCACTACGACGGTTAATTTTCCAGTAGTTACAGGGCAAGATGTGTTGTTTGGAGGCAGTACGTACGAACCTGCTGAGTGGGGCAGGTGAAGATGGTATCGGTGTCCACTTCTCCAGCCAGCAGCTCAGAGACAGAGACGACTGTGGCACACTGCTTGATGTCAAAGAACAGGAGAAATGGCTTGTCCCTGGAGAAAGATAAATGTTTAGTCGCCCCTCCTTTCTCACTATAGTCATGGCAGTGAACATAACTAGACAAAAGCTCCGTTTACATTGCACCAGTTTGTAAACATGATTTTTCAACTGGTTTCCAAATTGGTTCTATTTTGTCCGTGTCAATGGGGCAGTGTTGGGTTTTTTGCTAGTCCAAAGCGGACAAAAAGGCACGTATATATATACGCCTTAGGGACATCTGTAGTAAGTGTATTAAGATTGTAGACTAGAACGTTGCGTGCAGTCTAGAACACCTAGTGGTGGTGAGATGGCGTCTTTGTGTGTATACCTGACAGCGTCGTGGACTCCACATAGTCTTCCCCTGGAGTCAGTTGGGTAGATCAGTCTCTCAGGCTCTCCATCCACCCAGGCTATACACACACATCATAGGGTTTAGGTTAACGTATGACTTATACACGCACTCTCAGGTGAATAATATGACACACTAAACGTCATAGTTATGGAAAATTCCAAGAGCTGACAAGGCTTGAAAAGACCCAGGGGGGCACTTGCCCTCTTCATAAACTCGCCTCCCTTCTCCTTGAAGTGAAGTAAGTGAACCAAACTAATGCAGGGGTTTGCCCCTCCTCTTGTCCATTAATACACTTGCTCCCCCTTGATTAAATGAAGGTCTGATAGTGATTGTACTGCCACACTGAATACTGTAATAATGGGTGTGTACTCACCAACAATTGCGATGGCGAACATCCCGATAATAAAGGCTATGAACACTCCAAGGCAAATGAGATCTTTTGGTCGCCTGCACACACACACCACACACGAGAAGAACAAACATTACATCATAGCTAATCTTCATATTTCAGCACAGGAAGGCAATTGGCAACTGTATCAGGTCACAGTGTTGGTCTTATGACCTGAGGAAGTGAAACGTATCCCCACAACTTAACGAGTAGGAAAAGTCATGTAAACCAGCCACAGCTATTTGACAGTATGTCATATCAAACCAGCACTGTTTCACTCTAGAGCCAATCTACAGCTATGAATATGCTACGAAAATAGAATTTTTGTGGAATATGTCCTCGCACAGCACTGGTTCCCAGATCCTCCAGAAAGGTATGTGTATAATGCAGAGACAGGAGAGCATGAGTCCTGCAAGGGTGAATGCCGTTGTGTGGCCCCGGGTTGACATTATACTAAGCTCCCTACTTTGACCGAGGCTTCATAATGTTGCTAAGGTGACTAAGAAAACATTTAGGTTTTAGTACATGGTGGTTAGTCTACCAAGTATGTACAGGGGGTGTGGAGTTTTTCAATTACATCATGCAGTGGTGGTAAAGATGTTGGTTTGTGTGTGCATGGTGTTGTGACGATGTAGCTAACCAGGAAAGAACTCTAAGGAAAGAAGCACCACACCCAAAGCTTGGCATGTAATATCATACAACACATCTCCCTGTGCTGTTTACAGTACAATTATACTGAACACAATGCCTTGGATGGCTGCACTAACAGAGAAAGATCTATGCATAGTATAAGTCCCATCTCTTGTTACAACTATTCTGGTTGACTTCACTTAACTCAATACTTTGACTGAGGCTATTGGCTTCAGTTTGGTCAGTAGCGTCACACAACTGTCAAAAAATGTTAGTCCAGCGGCCTCCTTTCTAACAGGCCAGTTGCTTATAGTGATGTCAACCAAGTACAGGTGTTGGTATGAACAGCCCGACTGCAACTGGCTATAGAGCACATTCTCCAAGGCTGTATAGCATGCCTTTGCCAGTCAGTACCGTGCTACATGAATCACATTGCAGAGAAAGCACTCTTATAAAAATGGCTCTAGCTGGCAAACTATCACGTACAATAGAGTGGGAGTGCCACAGAAGAGCAGGAATTACATTTCATCAGCATCAACTTTCATGATAATACTGTAGAAGGGAACCTGAGCTAGCTCATTATAAAGCAATGGAATGCACAAACAGGTATGCATATCACTTAGGACCTTCCCTACTCCACAGGGTATGAAATCGATATCAGGCCACACAATCAGCTATTGCCCGAAAAAAAACGTCCAGGGTGTGTAAGCAGCACGGCAGCCACCAACCTGCTCTTGCCGCGAATTGGGCCTCGGAACGCCGGATCGTGCTTGAGGGGCACTCCTGGATAGAACAAGAACAGAATTTGTCCAGTTACAGCTTGCCTGCCACATTGCATGCGAGCAGAGCGGTGTACATCAGCGGGAGCTACATTAGCCACTCGCTGGGCGTAGGGACTTACCGTTTCCGCCGTCCGTCTCATCCCTCGCTTCGTTCCAACAGCCTCCGATGAAGGAACTGGCCATTTCCACTGCTCCGCGAAAGATCTAGCTGACCAAACTCACAGCTGCATGCCTCAGCAATCGTGCAGGCAGCAGGTTTTTATTGAGGAATCTCGACTCCAAATAACGCGCACCAGTAAACAAGAGGAGAGAGGGTGGGGCACGAGGATGCAAAGCTCAAGAGCTCTTCTGTCGCTTCCCAGTTCTTCCGGGAGTAGTCTGGTCTCTTCCCGCACCAGCAGCAGTGCCAGTCTGCTCCGTGCACACGAGTACGGAGGCGAGTTGGAGTCATACTTATCTCTTGTTGCTGGAGAGAGAAAAAAGAGGAGCCGCAAAGAGGGCAAGGCGGAGAAGCGGGGAGCAGCTGAGATTGACTGGGGAAGACTGCTAGACGGTCAGTGTGAGGAGATTCAGAACCAGGAAGAGGTTGAAGCGGAAGAGAGTGAAGAATATGGTGACATCAAACAGTTCCTGAAGCCCATGTCCGCACCAATTGTGAGCTCAGAGAAAACAAAGAAGGATGCTGAAGGCCCCGCTGAGTTGTCCAATCAACCACCCAACACTCTTCCAAAGCTGCTCTCACGTGCAGCAGATGGAGATTTCACATATTCAATGTCAATGACTGATTCATTCAGTGGGGGCAGTATAGCGAGTGAACTAGGTGTGGCCATTCAACACAAGGATCTTACATGCAATGCCACCAAACAACTAGAGCTTAACACAAGATCACCTGAACCTCTAAATGAAGATCTTGGGCCACATACGTCAATGGAAGATCAGAGAAAGCAAAAGACCTCTGCTGTTACAAAATCTCGTCGAGTAAGTGAAGGCAGTTCCCAATCAACTGAGGATGACACAAGTGATCCTTCCCTGTCCCAAGACCTGGCCCTCTCCTCGCACTTCAGAAACAACATCTTCACACTGGAGCAGTTGGAGACACTAGACTCAGAGCCAGACCATAACTCTAAAATTGGAGCCACTGGGAGACCAGATAAAGGAGGCTCTGCTACTAGTGAAGACATTGCTCCTGAAGACGGTCGTCAATTCCACAATATCGTGTCTCTTGCCGATTTGGATTCCCTACCAGCCGAGAGCAAGACTAAACTGCCAGATGCAGTCAATGTTCCCTCAGAGCTAGTTGTGCATCATAGATACTCTGAACAAGACAGAAACAGTTCAGAGGAACAGAAGAGTGACGATTTGCACTCTACTAGTGAGGAGATAAACCAAGAGGACACAGAAACATCTGTCAGATACGATGAAGACTTTGAAGATGAAACAGTGGGAACCACTGCCTTGTCCCACAGCTCCCTAGACAATCAGAAATCTCTCGATAGTGGTACCTCGTCCCACAACTCTCTAAACAGAGACAGACCTGCTGTGGAGCACAGCTCTCCAGACAAGCAGGGATCAATGGAGAGTATCGACAAGTCTCTATACTGGGAGAGATCTGAAGATAGTGAAGCAAAAGCCACTAGATACTCTGCTACAGAGTCAGGAGAACTAGATTACAGTTCGCAGTGGGAGAGGACCCAGTCCGAACAGACCACTACTGTCTGTGGTCCTGGCAGTAGAAATGAAACAGCTCCAGGGACATCCGGTAGTGGAGGGGTTACCACTAGTCAGCAGCAGGTGTTTAGTACTGGAGCTCCCAGAGACAGAGCCAGGCTCGGAGATCTTCACCAGGGATCAGGAGAACCACCGTACATCAAAGGTCTAATATGCTTTTTGTAATTTCAGTTTACAGGTTAGCTCTTTTGTCTGACTTTCTTCAGATGGACCTGGTGAAGCATCACTGCCTCTAACTCATCAACCTCCCCTCAGCCTCCCTGAATTCCCTCACCTCCCACACTATTCTCCTCTTCTTCCTCACCTCCTCACTAACACCACTGGCCAGCCAGGTATATACATAAGTACAGTTTATACCTTGAAGCAGCTGGGATCGCTAACAGGCCGTCTCGTAGCCTGTAGTGCCAGAATAAGCGTCGACACACAGACAGAGACAGACAAACCATTCAAGTAGCTTGCTTTTACGATGTACACGAATCATGAGGGTTTTGTGTCATTGTATACAACTTTACCTTATACTGTGCCTTTCAGTAATTCAAGCAGTTAAAAGTAAATTTGCACCTATGTAAAGTGTCTTGCAGTTCTAATATTATTATACTTGGGTTACAAGTATTGTCCATAACCATCTTTCACTATCCACATCCAGTGTTCTCATCTTCGTCGCATGTGTCTGAGGCCCTGGAGGACCTGGTTCGTTCCCAGCTGGCCCTCACCAGGAGTTTGGTAGACCGCTCACGCTCTCTGGCCCAGTACCTGACCGACTCAATCACCCCTGACTACCACTACACCACTCTGGAGGACACCAAGAAGGTCGTCATCATAATTATACCAGCTAGCAGAGAGATAGGGTGCCTGTATTTGACTGCTCTGCCAAGATGTATGTGTTGAGACAAACTCTATATAGTCACAGAGAGTGTATGTTTATATTGATACTGGTACGATGTGATACCAAATTGTCATACAAAGTGTTAGCAGAAAATGGTATAGAGAGCATTTTTATAGAGAGTAAAATGCCCTGCTACTGAACTACTATGCTCTTTGTTCTGCAGTACATCTCGCAGCACAGACCAAGAGTTCTAACCAAAGAAGAAGCTCAAAAACTTGTTTCAAAGGAGGAAGAATTGTAGCCATCATCATATTTTAAAACAGAAAGCTTATGAAAGAGACATCATAATTATTATTGAGGCAGAAAAAGCGGCTGGGACCCTTTACCACCACACTACAGTAGACAGTATATACATTATTATTATACCGGGGTAAATTGCTGGTATATTGACATTGCGTGCAATGAGTTATTTATTATGCCTATGTTGCTCTTGATGCTTTGCTTCAACTTAATAAGTGAACACACACAGCATGTTGTGGCGTAAAAAGATGCTACGATGATTGTCAGTCACTCTCAAAACTATCGTCCGAAGCTCACTCGATGAAGAAGAGGCAGTGGTTCCGACCTCAGAGTCTTTGTCGTTGTCGGCTCTCGCTCCCCCAACTCCGCCCTGCCCCTGCTCGCTATCTGGTAATTCGGCCTCCTCGTCTTCTAGAATGTCTGGGTCCAGGCCGTGGTTTCTCATCTCCATCTGTATCTGCAGTGGATTCACTCCCTGTGGACAGAGAGGGAGGCAAATATATAGATCACAAGGAACAGCAGTCAAAAAACGTTTTGCGGCAAAAAGCAAAGAAGCAAATGAAAAATGTTTTTTTATTATAAACATGGTCAGCTGGGGTATGCGTGTTGCCCTAAAAACGGACGAAAAAAAAATGAAATTCACAAAATTGTTATCTCGCAACGTCCTTTAGTTTGGTGGAAGTTGTGAACATGCAACATGCACTTTTCATTGGGTGTGGAGCAAAAAGACCGCATCTACATTAAAAAAATCATTCTAAGTGCTGCCATCCTCTATAGCTACAGTAACTCACTAGTCTTTTCATCTTGAAGTATCTCGCATATCGTGGATCATCCTTAGCTTTCTTCCTCCCTGTTGCTTGAGGCTCTTCTGCAGAGAAAAAGATATGACACACACAGTAATGGTTAGAGAGGATGTGGCAGGACTAGATTTAGAAACTGTCACTAAAACATCTACTTATTGCATTCTTGCTCTGGGCCCTTTTGACATTCCAGCCTGCCACATTCCTACAATAAGCTCACCCTGTGCTGCCTGCGGAGGTGATATAGGCTGCTCGGCACCGCTGGATGGAGCAGGCACCTCAGAGGAAGTGGGAGGGGCAGAGGTAGACGAGGAGGAAGGAGGGGGAGGCCTCTGCCGTGACGAGCTGGCCGGGGCAGCCCCAGCAGAGGCAACAGCCTCTGGTGGTTGGTACTGCTGTGTTGCTTGCACTCCCTCCAGATCCGGGATCGATGATAGCTGGAGAAGAGAGAGGTTCACAATAGGGGAGTACAAAAAGTGAAAAAAGGAGGTTCATATGTCGGAAGAAAGAAGAGTAATAAAACCACGCTGTCAACACAAAAACAGGTTGTACCCACACATTCATGTTGGCCAGACAAGTGGAACATTGCTCAGTGCAGAGTATACAGATGGTTATTGATATGATGCTGGTACACATGTTTGCACACAAGAACAGTTCATTACACTACTACTATAAGAAACTCTCCCACCTTAGCCTCTAGTATGTTGAGTGATATATCCAGCCTCTGTATCCGGAGACTCAGCTCACCAAGTCTCTGAGATGTAAACAAGCATACTTTTATGCAGTTTATAGCAAAGAATTACTAAGACAGCATACTGCACCCTTTACTGATAGCTACGTTACCTCTTCACAGGCTGCCGAGAACCTGTTGAGAAACTGCGCAGTCTGAGTGACGAACGAGTTGAGGAAAACGAGCGTGTTCTTGTGCTCTAGCGCAGGTACCTGCAAACGCGGCAGTAGAGCTATTGAAAAACGTATGGGACTCTAGTTCACCTTTGTATAGTCCACTCCCGTCCCCACAATAGGCAAGCCATGCACGTCCATCACGGCAAGAAACTAGCCCCCAAGAAAGAAGACGGCTGAAGTTCTATTTGGAGCACACTCACAGTCAGGTGATCAAACAAACACGCCCACCAAACCACACGTGGAGTTTCTACGTCGGTCGACTTGCGGATCTGCGTCATGATGGCATTTTTCAGACACTGGAGACTACCTCGACACAATAGAAAGCTCCTCTTCAGATGTCACATCTCTCTGCAGGGTTTACGGGACGCTCCAATCGGAAGAAATACCTCCTGCTCTAATTGGAGCGCACTAGCAGCTTTCCGCGGTTTGCACAGTTCTCCGGCTCTGAGAGGACTGGAGGAGTTTTTCCCAAAGGGTGACGTCATAGAAGAGGGAGAAAGTGCAGGTAAGATCCACAAAAGAAACAATTGGTGTAAATGCAAGCCTAGATCCTATGGTGCAAGAGGCACATTCTGTTGATGTTTGAAGTGTGACTGTGTTGTCTGTACAGGAAGGCAATGGGAGGCCAGGGAGTTGAGGCAAAAGAGCAACGAAGATCTCCACAAGCTCTGGTAGGACTAATGACACAGACCTCTAGCTGATGTAGTAGTGTGATTACCTCACGGTTTGTTAGGTATGTGCTGTTGAAGGAGAGAAACATGTTGATGACTGTCAAACACGAGGCACGAAGAACTGGTTTTATCATGCCAGCTCCTGAGCGAACGTGGAAGGTATACTCTAGGTATATACACCTGAAATATGCCATTTTTTACCAGTTGATAGAGTGCTGCAAAGGGTCATGGGTTCGAATTCCACCTAGGGCAGCTTGAAAAATAAGCTGTCCTGGGTGTAAAATACGTGTACATAGTTGACTTGTTTGCTTTGCCTTTGCCTTTCTACCTTGTTTGTAGGTAAGAAAATCTATGGCGAGAATCAAATTGGTTTTGGGAGAGAGGGTGAGTTACAAACATACCCTCCCGTGTATCATGAGGTTAATTCTATGTGGGTTTGCTTCAGGAGAGAGCGATAGCTGAGGCCAAGGAGTCTCTAAAACATCCAGAGGCTCCAGCAAAAGAAGATAAAGATAATTTGCCAGACTCTGAAACTGACTCGCAGTATGTTAGTACGTCAACTGATACGCCACCTGACACACGCAGTGTAGCACAGTAAATATATAACAGTCTTGTTGAGGGTGAGTGTATAACCCTCCCCTGTGTTGAAATGTTTTGTTTTTAGTCGTTTTGAATTAACTTGATGTGTAAGCATTTTGACGTTTAATGCACACAGAGCTAGTTCCTGGTCTGAAAGCGAGTCTGTATGATGCCGATCATTATGGTGTTTGACAGTTTAGTCTCGCCACTCAGTCCCCCTGCCACCATCAGCTCACCGGATGGCAACTCAGTCGCACAAACACCAGCTTAACGGCAGGGGCAACTGCCCACAGTCCCTCCACCTCCTCTCGGTCGTGTCGTAGCGATGGATTAGTTGAATGCTGAGGCACATGTGGACTCCACCCACTAGTAGCAGGTGTCCCCGGAGGGCCATTAGAACTGGGTGCTGTACTGGTGGTGTGGGTAGCTGGAGCCAGACAGGGTCACGAGAGTGGGAAAAGAGGTTGGATATGAGTGTGGGGAGGTGGGCTTGGAAAATGTGTTCCCTCCCATCGTCCCACTTCCCAAACGAGGACAGATACCAGGAGTCCCCCACTAGTGCCGCAGACATTTTGCAACCAGCCACGGGCAACGGTTGTGCGGTGTACCATCTCGCGGTGGAGCTGTCCAATACCTCCACATTCGCTACACCTGGGAATCCACATGCCACCACTAGATACTTCTTGTAGCCCACCGCAGCTGCCTGGCTCCGGGCTGTCGGCATGGGTGGGTAGGGGTTGGTCCACCTACCACACTCGCCGTCCCACACTGTTATTGCATTCACGTCTTCGTCACTAGCATTACTACCTCCAACCAACACCAGTTGGTCGCCGAGCGACGTCAGGAAAAAGTCGAACACGGGTGAGGGAGGAAGCAAGTTCCACGTCCCAGTGTCCGGGCTGTACATGGCTACATCGGACGAGTTGATTGAATTTCCTCCACAGTAGACCACGCCGTCAATGATCACGGCACAGGCTGTGCACAACCCAGTGGGGATGTCCTTCCCCTTCCTCCACTGTAGTGGGAGGGGCCACCTCATTTCCTGAGAGGTACATACAAGGAAAGGTCTTTGGTGAACAAAGGTAAAGTGCAACTTGTGGTTTTCAAAAACTATCAAGTGCATGGCTTTGTGGGTGTCGTCCCTTGCACAAAGTTTGTCATTGGTTTACTTACAGTGTTGCTGGATCCCGCAGTAGGTATGCTGTCAGAGCGAGCAATTCTGACATCTGGTATCTTCTGTAAAAAACATTAATGAATCTGTAACGATACAAACCACGGCATTTAACGTTACCTGCAATTTTCTTTGCAACTGCTCAATCTGTGTTCTCTGTGACTCTATCAGCGCTCCCATGCTCGAGATTTGCTGGTTGAGAGATTGCACCTCTGAAGTTTTCTGCTGCAAGAGTTTATCGCTCTTTCTTAGCAGCTCTGTTGTCTGTCTCAGAGCTTGTATCAGTGACAGTTTGCTCTCGCTAAACTTGTCGTCACTAATCTTGGCCTTGCCCTGCTCAAGGAACTGAAAAAGACCATTAGCTTTTGGTCGCTCTTCAGGCAGATTGCTGAGGCATTTCTGGATCATCTTGATTAGGGGGTGACCGTCGTTTAATTCGTTCCTGATCTGTTGTATGTAGCTGTCCCGGCGCTCAAGCTCAGTACGACCTACCATCACTCTTCTACTGTCCATATAGGCAGCAGCGAGTGGTCTGGGGAAGGTTTGCGAGAGAGCAAAGATGGCCAAAACTCCAAATGAGAACACATCGATGGTGACATCATATCGTGACTCATCCTCCAGTGCCTCTGGAGGCATGTAGATGGAGGCACCTGGTGCCTTGGTCATGGTGGCAGCTCGCAGGCTGGGCACGATCCGAGCCATGCCCAGGTCTGATATCTTTGCCACCATGCCCCTTGTCAGGAGAATGTTCTTTGCCGACAGATCGCGGTGAATGATGTGTGGGGAGTGACTGTGCAGGAAACATAGGCCATTGACTATGTCGTGGAGGATGGAGCACTTCAAACTGACTGGGATGAAGGTTTTGGTGAATGGGGGAGGTTCAGGGTCCAGAACATCGTGGAGACTAGTGTCCAATCTCTCCATGACTAGTGCAGGGACTCTGGAGCCAGGTAGGAGATACACTCCCAGGAACTGGACGATGTGGGGGTGACGGAGGGTGCTCATCAACCCACACTCGCGCACAAACTCCCCCAGAGTCTTCTCTATCCCCTCAGGTGGTACCCTGCTGGGGTCTTGGAAGAAATTGTGGATTTTCTTGGCAGCACAAGTTGCTCCGGGCATCTCGACCTCCTCAACACTGCCGTAGGATCCCGAGCCTATCAGTCTACCAGTGGGTCGAACGTTGGTGAGAACAAATGGCCTGAGGTCTGGGTACTCTTGAAGAAAGCTCATCTTCCACAGAACCACACTCTCCCCGGCCAACCTTGAGACTATTCTATATATGTACATGCAGCTGCAGTATCGACAGTAAAAGCATGTTTGTGGTTTGTTTAGGAAGGCGTATGAAAACTGCAAGTTCTGCACTGTGTACTAACATTGCTACAATAAACATTCCCCCACTTATAGTGAGTCTCCCATTACACACACACACACTGCCTATTCTCCTCAACAGTGCATGAAGGAAGTTCTTTGTCAGAATAGGTATTACTGTTTTTGGTGTGCGAGCGAGACTCAATTTTTCGCACATAATTATAAGAATCAGGTAGAAAATTATGGTATGTGCAGTTCCAATCACATATAAATAGACGTTCAGTCCTGGAAGAAGTCGTGGATTTTCTTGGCAGCACAAGTGGCTCCGGGCATCTTTCACAAAAACACTACACACACGCACACTTTGGCTAAAAGACTTTTCCCTTGAGACTATTCTACGTACATGCAGTATCGACAAGCATGTTTGTGGTTTATTTAGGAACATATATGAAAACTGCAAGACAGTACACTAACACAGATGAATAGCTACACACTACCACTACTACAAGTCTTGCCTGAGGGGGAAAAGGGGGTATATACAACTAATACACACCAGATTACTGTACAATGTAGGACGGTACAAATTAGCAGGCTATTATCTTGTTAAGAAGGTGTTCCAATATAGAGCCTGGAACCTTCAAACAGCAACAAGCCACCATGACCACCGAAAAGTTCAGCAGAGCACACACCCCCCCAAGCCATAAAAGGTAAATATTCAAGCATCTCCCACACATCATTTTCCAGATCATAGTGTTGGATCGTCTTCCCCACAGCTAGTAGATGTCCTTTGAAGGTTGCTAGAGTTATTTGAGGCACTGGCGGCAGTTCCTGCCATACTGGTGCAGCATCTCCCTTGGATAACATAGCATTGTCTATGAGAGTGGGAAGATTAGCTTTAAAAATGTGATATTTCGTATCATGCCATTGCCGTAAGGAAGAAAGGTACCAGGAGTCCCCCACTAGTGCTGCAGACATTTTCCGGCCACCCACGGGCAGGGGCTCGCCAGTGTACCATCTCCCGGTGGAGCTGTCCAATACTTCAACTGTGGCTAAACCTGGGAACCCACATGCCACCACTAGATACTTCTTGTACCCCACCGCAGCTGCCTGGCTCCGAGCTGTCGGCATGGGTGGGTAGGGGTTGGTCCACATTTGTCTATCACTGTCCCACACTGTAACATTGTTCACACAATAACGTTTGTAATCCCCACCCCCTGCTAGCACTAATTTCCCATTGAGCGATGTTGTAAAAAATCCCCGTACAGGTGGTTGTGTGAGTTCACTCCATGTATCACTGTCCGGTGTGTATTGGTACATTCTGTGTGTGGATCCCAGAGAACCACCACAGTACATAACTCCATCAATGGTGACTGCACTTGCACCTTCTGTTTTACCAATCGGGTCTTTGCTACGCCTCCACTGTAGGCTTATGGGCCACTGCAAGTGAGAAAAGCATAACACACATAACCCCAAAAGAGAATATATCGATAGTGACATCGTACTTTGACTCATCCTCCAGTGCCTCTGGAGGCATGTAGATGGAGGCACCTGGTGCCTTGGTCATGGTGGCAGCTCGCAGGCTGGGCACGATCCGAGCCATGCCCAGGTCTGATATCTTTGCCACCATGCCCCTTGTCCGAGAACGTTCTTTGCCGACAGATCGCGGTGAATGATGGGTGGGGAGTGACTGTGGCAGGAAACAGAGGCCACTGGCTATGTCGTGGAGGATGGAGCACTTCAAACTGACTGGGATGAAGGTTTTGGTGAATGGGGGAGGTTCAGGGTCCAGAACATCGTGGAGACTAGCGTCCAATCTCTCCATGACTAGTGCAGGGACCCGGGAGCCAGGTAGGAGACACACTCCCAGGAACTGGACGATGTGGGGTTACGGAGGGCGCTCATCAGCCACACTCTTTCACAAATCTCCCCCAGAGCCTTCTCTATCCCCTCAGGTGGTACCCCTGCTGGGGTCTTGTCATGGTGGTGCTCATCACCCACACTCGCGCACGAACGCCGTAAATGTTTTTTCTGTCCACTCGCGTGGTACCTTGCTGGGGGGTCCTGGAAGAAATTGTGGATTTTCTTGGCAGCACAAGTTACTCCGGGCATCTCGACCTCCTCAACACTGCCATAGGATCCCGAGCCTATCAGTCTACCAGTCGGTCGAACGTTGGTGAGAACAAATGGCCTGAGGTCCGGGTACTCTTGAAGAAAGCTCATCTTCCACAGAAGTCTACTGTTGGCAATGATATATCGACCACACCCTAGCTAGTGCAACTACACTCCTAACCCCTATATTATGATGAATCATCTTTGTTTAGCTAGCTGCATTCTGTGTAGGTTGTGTAGGTTGTGTAGGTATTCCCATGTCATAGCTATGTACCACACACAGACTTTAACTCCAACCATTTTTGCCAAGTTATTTCTGTACGTGAGTACCATAAAGTGAGCATTCTACACTACTGCTGTTTGTCTTCCCCAGGCCCAGCAGTGGAGGAGGGAAGGGCCTGGAGCTCTTCATCAGAGAACTGGGCAAAGTAGTCTCTGTACCACTGGACGTGCTCTCTCTTCTCCCTGGCTGAGTAGTGAGGGTTCTTGGAGAGTCCGGTCACCACCATCTCTATGAAGTGACGCACCGGACCTGCAGGGGACAACATGGAGACACTAGAGTTGAATCATTCAAGAGGGAGAGAGTGCAATTCTGTGTTGTGTACTTTAATTTTTAAATAGCTAGCAAATGGGTGAGCAAAGCAAGCTTACCTAGTGGTCTTAATGCGAGATTTTGAATATCCAACATTACCACCTACAATACCGTAATTTCCTAAATATACAGATGTATGAAACTGAAATTTTGCAATTGATGCTGCATACTTCATACAGTTGTGTTGAATTCACATCTGAGAAACGCACCTCGTGATGGGAACCCCTTCAATAAGTGATTCAGTAGAACGTGGTCTTCAAATCCTACTCCCTCTTCCTCACTATATACATAATATACCAACAGAACATGACACACAACACAGTAACACAACAGTTTGTTATGTGTGGTAGTATATACATACTTCTTGGCAGTCTCATTGTCGATGGGGAACTGCCTGGGGAAAGCCACGTCAGTCATGTCCTGCTGGAACTGGTTGGTTGGTCTGAGGCTCTGCATGCTAGCCCAGCTCTGCATGCTCCTCTGGCAAAAGTGAAATCTCACGAGATAACCAAACCACCTGAACACTCAATACAGCTGGGGTAACATGTAATGGTAACAGCTTAAACCCAAGTTCGGTGATTGTGACCTTTCACATTATTGTTGTTACAGCTAGAAAAGTGTGCTAGCAGGCTCACTTGGCTCTTGGTTGTGGCGTTTCTGAACTTCATCAAAAGCCTCTCATTATACTGTGAACACCCAATGTTTGTATTATGTTATATGTCTACCTCGGCGAGATTAGGAGGAGCAGGTGGTAGTAGTTGGGTGTCAGGTCCAGGGTCACCGAACACCCCGAGTCGAGGACCAGCCGAGGGCGTGGATGGAGTTCTTCTGGCAGTCTCTCTCTCTCCTTCAGTCGTGCCACCTCCTTCTCTGGTCTGTGAGGGGAACTTCGGGGAGGCAGACCCAACTTCCTACGAGTCACCTCTACCATTCAATACATGATAGAGAGAGAGAGAAGAGGAATACATTTTGTATGCATCTGGTTGATTCAAACATGTCCTAATATGCATAGTCCTATCAATACTCCTCTAAAGAGTTGTTGAAATGAAATTATACTCCTTCCATAAATCTGCACTATCCTGCCAAAATGTCAGTCCTAGTGTAGTTCTCTGGCTGGCTAACAAAGAGAGGACACACTTACCATTTGGAGGGATGTGGAACTTTATCCCAGCCAGTACATCTCTGTTATAGTAATGGAAGAACATTTCACAACGACTTTTTAAGACGGTTTTACTTGAGGGAGGTTGAGGTGTCTGCAGACTGACTACCAGTCTCCCTCATGTTCTTCAGCAGGGATTGGACGTCTATCTCCTTGTCTCTGGCTGCCCCGGTCCTCTCCTTCCTCGCCTGGCTCCTCTGGTAGTTCCTCTCCCTCCTGCCTCGCTCACCGGACGGCGGAGGCCGCCCATTGCTGGCTCCCACATGCACACCACCCGAGATACTGGCTGCGGACAGCTACAGAGGATCATATCACGTGACTCATGGCGAGATTTTCTTGTATAGGAGACTGAGAACGTCACTTAGAGAAGACGGTGGCCTCCTTACACATTTTCTAACCTTAGCGCATTGTCTGGTGATATACAGTCTCCCTATGATGAGTGGGAAAGTAGTACGCATCCTATATAGTCTTTCTTCAACACGTGCACTCCGCATACGCGCGTATATTTCCGGTTTCTCTCCGGATACTACTGATGGCGGAGGGTGGTGAAGGAGACAGTGGTCTAATAGTGGCTTCTGTGCCTGAAGGCCAGAGAAAATTGATGTGCATCCAGTACCCAGGTGAAGATTATCGCACTGCACTTCCAGCCTCTGTATCATAATCATTCTAAAGGCTTTGTGGACAATGTGGACAGAGCTATCAATAGTCTCGGTGGCATGAAGAGTATAGAAAAGGTAGGTATCCTATATAGTCTGCACTGGCCACAGCTCATATCTGGGGACTCCAGGTGTACTATGAGAAGACGCATGTGTTGGAGGCGAGACTGAGACCAGAGGACAGGTTCTGCAAGCCAGTGGTGGGTAGATCCCTGCCCGTTACCAACCTGTACTGAGGGTGAGACGAAGACGAGGCAGGAGGCAGTGGGGAGGGAGGAAGGGAGGTGAAGTAGGGGGGTCAGGAGAAAGATGCAGTGGACCAGACACTCAAGTGGAGGTGTCTGGGCATGGTCAGACTGACCTACCAATTCAAAGATGTTGTCTTTATTATCTTAAAAAACACCCAGTGTTGCTCTACCAGGTATTTGCCCCTTCTCTCTTTCTTTGAAATTACAACATATCCAATGTCGGCATGGGCTTGCTCGACATTAGTATCTTGTGTCTGTGTATTAGCCGCCATCTTGTATCCTTACAGGTATGGCGACTTCCAAGTGCCCCCAGGTTTGAACCAGGTGCCATAAAAAAGCTGAAGCATTAGACCCAGTATCTCCAGATCAGTGGTACGTACGTGTACAGGTCGGCTCTGGCAGTGACACATCGACAAGGCTCTTCTTTCTTCTCAGAACCAATTTTACGATGCATTGAGGACAGGGGCGTCCCCCTGTTTTCCCTCCATGGGCATTCAGCAAGTTTGACAAGCCATCAACTATGCGTAAGCCTACCTGCCATTGATATGCATAGTACTAAACTTGCTGTTGTGCATAAGTAGGTTTTGCAGACTTGCAGATTTTGAAGGTTTGTGGAAATGGTGCAGATGAATGTGACTAGTATGAAACTTTTACTGAATACTGGAGAACTTATTTCCAATTCTGCAGTGGGCTCTATTTGTATCCCTTAGTAGCCCATTACGTACTGCCACATTGCAAACCGCGGGCAACTATTAGGACATATTTATGCCCAATTATGCAGTGTTAATATAGATTATGGCTGATGCAGGAGTCGTCCAGATTTCCAACACAAGGTGACGGGGAACCAGGTCCCAGGCAGCAGTAGACAGAGGAGACAGGTCTTTGCCATCGGTATCACATTCGACCACAAAGGACGTATCCTTCATCTATCGCATTACTTTAGCAAGTAGCTATATACAGTGCAGTACATTTCTATCATTCTGTATCTTTCTCCAATCCTATTCTTTATTCGCCGTCATAGAGGAGCTATAATAGTGGATAAAACCCTTATGCAAGGTCCTAAACTGACCTAGACTGCATAGTGTTGTGGGTTTCAAATCCCACCTAGGGCAGCTCTTCTTTTTATACCTTGGAAAAAAAGAGTTGCCCTGGGTGTAGTCGACTTGTTTGCTTTGCCTTTGCCTTTCCACCTGGTAGTTGACACAAACAAGCTTCTAAACTCACTGGTTATAACAATGTCTTGACTGTTTGTCGTCCAGCTGTTCCGAGTAAGTCACATCCAGATCTGCCAGAGGTGCCCGCCTTACACCAAACAAAACTAGAGGCTGTCAAGAAGGTAAATCAACTGCTGTCTTCTGGTGTGCTGTGTGCCATGGTGAGTTATATACAATCATGGACACAGTTGTTTGAGGAGCGTCCGATCTGGTCAAGAGGTTGGATCCAGTACAGAACCAAGCTGCCAAATGTTATAGTGAGAAGGTAATGTGTACTCCTCACTACAGCTACAGAGTCTGTTGCTTGCAAAAGGTGGCCTGAAGTTTTTGTTCTTTTAGAACGCAAGTGTAGGGAAGGACAGGCAAACTGACCAGTATTGGTACTTTGATTATAGCTGGGGGGTGCAGTGAAACTGAAGTACATAGGGTGACCTAATTTTCTGTAAGCGAATGTGAGTTAGACAGGCTAAACAACCATTCTGACAGTAGATGAAGGGCACAGTGAAAACAAATGACAGTACGTGAAGAGTGCAGTAAAAAAAAACGATCCTCAGGATTGACTGCTGAAAATAGGGTGGCCAAACTTTCGTACTTTTTAAAGTAACTCTGGGGGAGTAAAGGCAAACTAACCATCCTAATACTTTGACTATAGCTACTTGATCCATTAGTATCAGAGCTTCGGTGCAGCATATTTTGTAATAATGTCAGTCTATGTAGGGAAAGAGTAATGAAGTTGGAGAATGCAGTGCAAATAATCCCGGGGAGTGACTGTAACAATAGGGTTGCCTAATCTTTTCGTACTTTTTACAAGTATAGGGAAAGACTGGCATGCAGTTCGTCCTAAATACCTTGACTATAGTTGGAGAATGCAGTGATGGAGTGAAATGGTGTGATGTCATAACCTTTTTGTACGTTTTGCAAGCCAATTTCAGAAGTTGCGTATGATGGTTGGTCCATGGTATGGTATTATGTAGTTTACTGGTATCATAATGATCGTAGCCCCTAGCTCTATAGCTCTTTATTATAGCTAGCCTGGGCGTATAACAAAACATTACGCTTATATTCTCCTCAGTCTGCTGGCATTGGTGAGCTACTACTTCACAAACGGTCCGTGGAAGATGTTGTGGGTGAGACTGGGCTACGACCCTCGCTCCACCCCTGATAGCAAACGATACCAGTGCCTTGACTATCGCCTCCCACGAGAGATAGCCGCTGTCAGCACTCTCGAGGCCAGGAGAAGCAAACTCAGGAAAGGCTTGAGTAAGTAAAGTTCATATCGAGAATTACACATACATAAGTGGTGAGTTTCATATACGTATTTGTGACATCAAGTGTTTGAACTCCGAGATTAAAAGTTTAAGAGGTGTCACTGAAAACCTTATTATGACCAAGCGTAGACGTCTGACCATTCATTGATATAAGGGCTACATTTAGAACTGCAAACTGCTTTTCCTGCGCTGGGACCTATTAGTACTTGTGTATTGCCACATTCTCTTTAAGGATTAGCTAACCGCAAAAAAGTGCCTCGAAATTTAGTGTATGCGTGGTAATCCTCTAGAACTCTCTGTGCAGTATATGCAGGGAGTAAGAAGCAAGATGAGTTCCAGTTGAGTGGGGACAGTGTCCAGCTAGCTGAGGCCGTGGCTGATTCCAATGCCCCTGAGACAGAGGCGTGTCCAGTGTTCATTGCACACCAGCTGCCCACCCAGAGACAGGTTTACTACCAGTTGTGTGACCTGCGAGATGAGTCCCTGCAGACTCTCCTACATGCCAACGATGGAAGAGAAGATGAATGCTCTGTGAGTGTTTATTTTGGGCAGAAGAGACCATAAAACACTGCACCAACTTGCATTGCCACACACTGCACGAGATGTCAAAAAACTATTACTGTCCTTTCCCCGGGCTTTAATTCCTTTCTCAGCAGACAAAGCTTTGCGTCACCTTCGCATGGAGAGCAACTTTCAAACACGCAATAATGAAGGGTCCATCTCCTGTGTTGTAAGGTCACATGACTCTCATGTGACTGTCATGTGGTTGTCACTACAGGAGGCCAATGGGTGGTGTGAGGAGGGAGTGTATGACCAGCTGAGGAAGATGCTGGGAGAGATGGTCAGAAGGACAGCTGAGAGAGGTCAGTTTCACTTATGTTGCTGTGTTTATATAGCAGCACCATACCAGTCTGTATAAAAAGGCTTCACTCCTTCACTATGTTACATACATGATACGTATAGGTTTGTACTTAGTCGCACACCATTGAAACACTAATGTTTTGTGTTGAACCTGCAGTTGAAGAGGAGCGCGACTGGCTCTTGCAGACAATACCAGCCCAAGCTAGAGACTGACACCATTCACTCATAGTCACGTTTCCACCATTTTCAAACAAAATGAGCGATCAAATAGTTTTATTCATGATGACAAAATATGGAGTAAAAGCTTGGGAGTGTTACGGATGATAAGAAAGTACACTTCTATCCCTTCAAACTCGACAATATATCCTATGCACACAAGAAAGGGGATATGTAATGGCTGGGTTTGCTTCAACATATTCTTGTAACTTACAGGGGGCCACTGAAAGCAATGTGTCTGGATGTGATGACAGTCTCCCTGTCTTCTTGGGCTTTATTACTGGCGGCCTTTGCCAGCTTATTGAGAGCCAGAACTAGACCCAGAAACACCTGCAATCCATGGTATAGCATTCATAGCACCATACGAGCTCTAAACGCGTGTTACTCACGGCAATATCCACGGACTTAGACAGGTTAACACTCCTCTTTCCCTTTATGATCTTTCTGAGAGTGGCTCGGGGGTACTTTCGTTTCATGTTTCCCGCCGACGGTTAACGTTTGTTTGCTGAATCAGCAGTTTATGGCTTGCATTCTAATTATAGCCCACCATACAAACTGACGGGGCTCTGGGTATAATTGTAGGAGCACTAGCTAGTTTTTATGCTGCGTAAAAGAGAGTGTATACGAGATGGATGGGTGGAGAAGCACTTTTGCTACGTCCCCGTCACGGCTGCAGGCTCTCTTCCCAGACACCAGTCCCTCTCGTTCCAGTGGTTGATCGGAGGAGACTTCGAGATGTGCTTCCAGTACCTCGCGTTCGTGACCTCTTCTGCGGCTCTCTTCGGCGCCGTCAGCTTCTTCTATGCCGGCCGCTACAGATCTAGATACAGACGGGACAGGAGACCGCTCGTGGTGATGTTGAAGTTGGGAATTGCCGTGTGTATGGCCCTCAATAGCTTGGTCGGGTTCTTAGCTGCGTTTTGGATGGACAGGCAGCGTCCGTACGCCGTGCTAGTAGCTCAGATAGTGAGCTTCGTATCTTGGACGATCCATGCAGCTGCATTGTGGGTGTTCTCCACTTCACTGGGCTACACAGGCAGGGGGCCCCTTGTCCTCAACGTCAGCTGGTACCTAACTCTCGTGGCTAGCATCCTCCACTTCCGTAGCCACCGTTCGCTGGGACGCTAAACAGTACCCCCTACCAGTACGCGGAGCTCCGGACATGTACTTCTCCCTCCAGTCAAGAGTGTCAATATACATACACATGGGGTTGCAGGTTCTCTATGGTATGAGCCTCCTCTTCCCTGCCACCAGCTACAACTAGTAAGGAGAGTAGCAGGTGGCGGTCGCGGGAGACTAAGAGTCAAGGAGACAGCAGTGTCAATACAGAGTGGAGAAACTCAGAGGACGAGGAAGAGGAGGAGGAGGAAGTTAGAGAGGAGCAGCCATTGATTTATAGAGGACACGGTTCAACGTATGGCGCCCTTTATAGTGCTAGAGATAACACTGATCTGAGCTCTCGCACGTGAATGCGTACGAAGACCGTGCCAATCCCGTGTCTCTCCTCTTTTTCTTGTGGGTGTGGCCTCTGCTGAGACGAGGTGCCGTGGGGGGTCTTGAATCAACGACTGACCTTCCCCCACTACCAAAGACTCTGCAAACTTCCCTCATTCGTGAGAAATTCAGAAAACGTCTGGGTACGGAGAGGGAGTGTAGCGACTGCTTCAACAAACGTGGATGTTAACGTGAGTGTTAGTGGCCAACAGGGGACGGAGGAGGGGTGGAGCACAAGTGGTGCGTCGTTTTTTAGACTCAGAGGGTAGCGATGAGATCCATTGCAAAGAACGACGACCACTACCGTCCACTACCCCACCATTGACTCGACGACTGACAGTAGTGTACAGACTATACTGGCCTGGACCGTCCGTGGATGGGCAACACGAAAAAAGTTTCGCGAAAAACTCTGGCTCACAGATAACGGATGGAGAACCGCAAGCAGTCTAAGCAGTCTACATCGCTGCTGATGTCTATTCTCTGCCGCCAACCGCGCGTTTGGGTGGCACGACTACCCACTGGGTCTGATCAAGTTACACGGACCTGCTGGGTTTGCAGGCCTCTCCTCCTCTTTACCAGACTAGTGTCTTTCATTGAGAACAACAAGTCAGTCTTTTCGTTTTATACCACACGTTTGTGAATGACCAACATGTCTTCGATTTCCGCAGGAGCCATGTACTATGGCGTATCTGTTGCTGCTGGGACTGGTGTGCAGCACCACTAGGTCACTGCTATACTACCTCTCATTCAATGACAGGGTATAATTGGACACATGGGAGAATGGGAACATCTTTGTATTTAGCAAAAACACTGGAGCGTCATCGAGTAACCATTTCACATATGTCCCATTGTACACCTACAGCAGATTTCCCTACGTGGATGATTTTATAATGTGATAATTTACGCTGAGTATCTCGGTATGTGTATATAGAATGGTGATGTTAGAAGTAGATAGGGGAATTAGCTCAAATGGTAATGAGCGCTCGCTTAGCATGCGCGAGTGTACCGGGTCGCTACCCGGATTCTCCATTTTAGGAGCATTAATTTTTGCTGCTGTTGTAGCAAATATTTCTGCCAGTCTTTTTGAGCACAGCGGTGAATAAGTAGGGCTGAGGTGCGGGGCAGCTCTATCACGGAAGCTTACAGAAAGTCCTGGTCATAAGCGATCAACAATGTCCAGATATTCAACTGGACAGGTCAGCTCATGTGAAATTATGAATACGAGTCTACCAATGCATGTATGCATGCAATAACTGGTCATCATATTATGATGCTATAGTACCCTACAAGAATAAAACAGTGAAACAAGGATGTCTGTAGAAGTAGGATCAGTCCGGATGCATGTAATTTTCCTTTGAACGCGAAAGTAACCTGCGCACTTGCCAGCTCCCCTAATCTAATAGATATTGGTGCTTTGTGACTGTGTGCGTGTGTGTGCTGCAGTGTGATGAATTTCATGCAGTACCGACACCTGACCCGCTCGCACCCCACCCCGCCGCATCGTCAACGTCTGTCAGAGTTTCCACCAGTTTGGATGTCTTCCATTCCAGATAGCCATCTCTCTATACCGCCTTACCAACAGGCCACCAACCTGAGTGTACTCTCACTCTCTCCTTTACTCTCTCTACAACGTGCGCTTTTCGGTGATTTGACACTAGAGTACAAAGAGGGTATAGCTAGGGATAGGCTTCAATGTACTATGGATAAGCAGAACGATAAGCCCACAATTACTAGGTCATTGCTCAACATGTCTCTCTGTTGGTCAGGTAGGGCTAGCATTCTGGCGGTGTGGCGTTCTGTATTCTCTGATTCCTGTAACAAACCGGTGGCTGGCCGTCAAGATTGGCCACTGAGTACAAGATGATGGCCGACAAAGACAATAGAGTCAAGGCAATGTATACCAGTGCATGTATCGCAGCTTCACAAGATGTGAATCACACTATGAATAATTACGCTGATGTAAACTTTCACAAGTCCTTGCAAAGTTTGTCACAGTGTGTGTGTGTGTGTGCAGATTTTGCAGTAGCTTTTTACGGAAGTCTACAGCTGCCATCATGTAGCTATAACATCCAAACCATTTGCTTACTGTAAATTCAGTCATCAGTGAGTATTGACTGGATCCGTGTCATAAAGAAATTCTATGCTTGGAAAAACACTTTCTTCCAAGATATTGAGCTCAGGTCAGTGTACATGTGTGTACTACGCATTATGCCTGATATTATGAGTCTCTCTACATGGCATTTGACTGATCTTTTACAACTACACGAGGGCGTGAGCTGAAGAGTCGGAAATTTTGGTGTTTTTTACGACAAGTATCTGGACGCTCTCGGCGTGTAGTTCTGGGCCATTACAACTCCTACGTGCCTGTATCTCTATATCGTAACCTCACTAACATACGTGGCACTGGCACCCACCTCACCGCTGCTAAGTATGATGACTCATCTGTATCTTGATCATTCCTCGACTTTCACAGTAACAGGGCATTGTATAGGCCTGCTTCACATGCCATGGAAACGTATGGACTCAAGGGTGCGTGTAGGGGAATAGCTCAAATGGTAGTACGAGCGCTCGCTTAGCATGACGAGAGGTATACAGCGATCGATACCGCTTCTCAGTTGTACTTTGTTCATTTGGCCACTGTTCGATGTAGCTATGAATATCACTAAAGCTTGCATGTGGTGACTCCAGAGTTAGTTCTACTTCTACTACACCAGGCAGTTCGTATCTTACATGCTAACGAGCCACTGTTTTTTCAATGAGTGCATGGTAGCCTACCTATACAGTAGGCTACTTGGCAAACAGAATTTGTGCGTGCATTCACTCGCCAACGCCAAAGCGAGACAATAGCAGACTGTGAAAGGGGAATTAGCTCAAATGTAGAGCGCTCGGGCCGTAGCATGCGGAGGTATACGGGTCGATACGGATTATTCGTTTTTATCCTGTTTTTGGGATATTATACCAGTAGTTTCCACCACTTCTAGTCTTTTGTTAGCATAGGTGTGTTTACGTAATATCTCTATGTTTTACTTATACAAAAAAAAAAAAGGCACTATATAGTTTAAAAAGGGACCGGTGTAAAATTGAGTGAAACAAAATCTTGGGTAAAGTCTAGATATTGTTGTTCTTTCTCCCCCAACTGTCTATCCAGGTGTTTACCAGTGTTGTTGTTCAATGTGCTGATCGTCCTCTGAAGCATTGCCCTGGGTAATTAATGGACTGATGGCAGGCATGGGTTGGCAGTGAAGAGGGGACTAGTGTTCCTGCAGTTGGAGGACGATTGACTGGGGCCCGTACTATGGACTTGACTAGGACACTATGGTATGGGAGTAAACATAAGCATGTAGCCGAGGATGCTATATACCCTAAGAGAAACTCTTTGTCTGTATAAAATGCGGTTCATTTCAGGGGTTTTTGTTGGTGGTTATGTTGGGGTAGCATACATATTATTACCCTCGGATGCGCCAGGCTCCTCTCGGCCCCCCCAAAAGCGAGGGGTACTGCTAGTGGGGTTGTCTGTGTGGGTGTGTGGTGTGCTGTAGTTACTATCAAAATATCCTTCTCGAATGTCTGTTGTCTCACAAACAATACGACCTAATTAACGTGCAATGAAGGTCAGAAAATTTCGAACGTTTTATCTGAAAAATGCTTCGTTGCAAAGCTAGAGCGCTCCGCCATTTACGGTAATGCTAGTCGGCCATTTTTATTGCTGCGGAAAAGCGCATGACGTTATATTTTGAACAGGCTAGGGTCCGCTGCTCTGTGTATTGAAGGCACGATAGTCACAACGGAAGGGCGGTATCGGGACTTCACATCTATATACTCTGTAGCTAGCCCGTGTGTCAGACGTACTAGTACTACAGCGATATGCGCATGCCCAGTTCGCCGAAGGGTTTGAACTTTAGTTGCTTTCATTGCACATAGACTGTACTGATAAAAACTGATGATTCCATCATATACACAACATGGTATAGTATGGGAGAGGTCATGCAGGGTGCTGCACTGAGAAGGGAGTGTTCAACTTTTATCTTGTTTAGGTGGG